CATCCAATGGTACCAAGTAAGGTAAATGTTTCGAATAAATTTACTGAGCAAATTATGAAAATATGAAATGAGGTTTTTGGCCAAAATGTCGAGATTTTATATATCAAGGTCCCACAAAGATGATTTCAGAGGTTGCTTTGGATCGATTGAAACGTTTTGATTCAAGATATACCATAGTAAAAGTCTCCATTTTCAAGGTGAAAAACGCGATCGTTTGATTTCGATGAAAACCATGAGGGGTACCTCACGCTTTTTGGTCGAATTTTGTTCTTGTTTTTTTGATCCCCAAAAAGATGAGCAAAGGTGTCTGTTGAGTCTGTAGCGGTTGCGGACATTCAGTAACTCAGCAAGAGTCGGATCATGATTTACATTGTTTCTCACTGTCTACATTAGGACATTAGGTTCGACACAGAAGTGAATCATATAATCGATTATGATGGTCTCTGATAGTGAAGGATAATGATGGCTACAGATCGTATCATCATGACTGATTGAACGAATCGGATCCTTCAATTGACTGATATTAGATAAACATGATACGATGTATTGACTCAGTTGAAACAACAAGATAGATTGATGATTCATCAGTAATGATCTCTTATAAATAGGATGTGTTTGAATCAGTTAATAAATCTTAAGTTTTTGTATCTGGTTACTTTTTATAGTCTTCCTTTTTTGAAATCTATCTTAATTTGTTAATACTGTATCTTTGAATACAACACTCTGAAATCATCTTTGTGGGACTTTGATATGGAAAATATCGACTTTTTGGCCAGAAGCCTCATTTCATATTTTCATAATTTGCTCAGTAAATTTATTCGAAACATTTACCTTACTTGGTACCATTGGATGCGTCTTGAAAAGTACTTTGAGATTGTATTAGAAAGCAAAGGATGATCTTCACAACTTATATAGTCGAATCTCACAAAGTAGTTGAATCAAGTCGAAGAAAGACACTTTCTGTCCAATCTTAAACAGAAAAATAAACTGAGCTTGAATCAATTTTGGCGGCTGGTGCGGCCGGCTGGCAGACGCAATGCCCTTTCCATCATGGAGGCAATACAGTAATAGATACTTTTGAAGCGTATGGAAAGTAGGTGGCAAATCACATAGCATTATCGTTAGCTATGCTGCTCTTTTTGAATCTATATTTGATAACGCCAGTCTATCAAAATACTTGTTAGATCAATTTCTTTCCTTTTTGAGACTTTGAAAGTGTTTAGGGACCATAAATTTATCATGTTATGATATTACATACAGGCAAAATCTCTTGACGTTAAATTATATGTATATGATTAAATTATGTACAGGCTTTAAAATACATTGGTCATAGCAATCAATGGACAGTACAAGCTTTGAAACAAAATGCAATCATAAAAGAGCATAATATTGAAGCTAATGACAAGACGTGGTTGTTTTTTATTAATGTGTATTTGAGTTTATGAGATCACCATACTTGATGGATTAAGATTTTTGAGGCTATTTTGACTTGTATAGATAGAGGTAGCAGAGATATAAGAACGACTTGGCCTTGTATAGATGTCAGGCATTAATTGTCTTGATAATTGATTGAGTAAGAGGAAGCACAGATGAGAGTAGGGCTTGACCTTGTATAGATGTAGAGATGGTATATTTGAACAGTCTTGTCATTTTAGGAGCTTGTAGGAGGCACAGAGAACTTGGCTTGATAGCATTTGGAGAGGACAGCTTGCTTTAGATGAGATAGAACATGAGATGGCAGAGGTAACTAGATAAAGATGAGATGAGTACACAAGTACTGTGGCATGAGTGCGTAACAAACCATTTGGGCAAAGAAAATTGACCATCAATAAAAGGAACCAACACTATATAAACAGGTACCAAGGTGTAAACTTGCTTCACCTATCACAAGATTATCGACACGCTCAAGACACCTTTATCTCGGATCATAGGGCTGAACCCAATTCTCGTCGGCAATAAAGCCTGTGGTCATCCCGTAGCATGACCAAAGGATTTGTCCTGCAGTCTACTCATGATTATGAAGCTGTGATCCTACTCAGTCCCTACAAAAAAGTAGTTTTTCGGCACTATGTAATCAATAGGTTAGTCAACATGGCTCATACGTTCAACAAGATAATAACTTACTCGCACAGTTCACCAAGGTCTGCATGTATCAAAGATAGTGTGGCCTTTTTCTAGCATGGACCAAGAGACATAGAGAGGACCATGGATTTGTAAGGCATTGTATGTAGCAGTAGTAGAGGCCAATAGACAGTAGAGTATTTGATTTACTTGACCATATGTGTAGAGAGAGAGAGCCCAAATGTCTTGTAGAGAGTTTGTATGTATAGAGTATTTTTGCTTGTTGTAGAGAGATGAGATGAAGAAGAAGAGGGAAAAGCTGTTGAAACAAATCCCTATTTATATCCTTCTCATCGACTTTTGTGTGAGTCCAGTATCCTTGCCACACTCAAATTCGTTTCCTTTTACTTTTCTCCACGATATACTACTTTGAGCGCGTGAAAATAGTACCATTTTGACGTTTGACACTTGCTCTATTTGATCCGCTTCGTCCGAGGCTTTCAACTGTTTTCTGTCTCGAGTTATGTCCATTTTGCTACTTCAAAAAGCCCTTTTTCCACCTTCACATGAAACGAGTTCCCCCATCTCTTCCTAGATGTAATTAACAGACAACTTTTCACTGGCTCAAACCTCATCAAAAAGTAAACAAAAAATGTCATTTGACACTGAAACAGATGCAGCTGGTTGCTTGATTAAGTAATCTCTTTTTTTTTTTTACCTCTCCTTAATTTCTCTCTCCAAGATCATACGGTTCTCGATCCATCTCTCTTGTTGTTTACATCAGCCATAAACTGTCCATCTAATTGGGCAATACGAGTGTTAAGGTTGGCTTTCTTGTCGTTTACATCACATCGGAGCCAGCATAACTGATTCTGGGCCAAGAAACAAGTGTACACCTCGGAAAACAAGCGTGCCATATGAATATTACTGCGGCAATCTCCATGGAATGGAACATAATGGATCGTTTTCGAACCAGTGCAAATCATCTTGTTTCCAGCTATCATGGTTGCTGTCAATGATGTCAATCAAAGTGTTTGGGCTACTAGATATCATCAATATGCCCACATTTACATAGTGAGTTGGTCATTCTTGTGTATCATTCCTGCAACCTGTTTGTAGTTCTTATGCCAAGAGTATTCATCTCATAAAGAGTCAACACGTTTCATATCATTTTTTTTTTAGGGATCGTCCTCTTTTAGAAGGTATTCGGATCATGCAAGATCAAAATAATTCATTTGCTAGGCAAAATTATGCTTTAAAAAAAATCACATGTAAAGTAAACAAAAGGACATGAATTGAAGAGAGATAAGCAAGTAAATGGCCAATTTGTGGTCAAAGAGAGGATATTTTATTAGAAGGTATGTACATCATTAGAAAGCAAATCACTTGAGGAATCCAATGGTACTATTTTCAGGGTTCTAAGTAAAGTACACATCGCGAAATTCATCAAACAAGGCCGTGGGATTTCCAAAAGAAAGAGGTTTCTGAATTAAACTTCACCTGCAATATCATTTTTGTCTGTGTGCTATTCTGTTGCTTTGGATCATGTCACGCTCCTCCTATGTCACCAGCCTGTCCTTTTTGGGTCTCACGTTGCGTATGCTATCTATTTGGGAAGGAGCCTCACTTTCTCGTATAATTGTTTCTGTGGATATCATTACAGTTATATTATAGGGGCTTTGAGGAATCAAGGAGAGTCTTCTAGCCAGCCAAAAAGGATTACAATCCCGCTCGAGTTTCTGTCATAATTCGTTGATTTTGGATCCTTTTGCGATTTGATCGACTTATTTTAGAAGATTCGACTATGAAAGTTGTTGTGATCATCCTTTACAGCCTTAAGATTCTTGTCTATCACTCATAGCGACATTTACAGGACTTTAAATAAAAACTGGAGCTCGTCTCCCCTACAAAAAAAAAAAAAAATTACAGCCTTAAGATATTTAGAAGAACTTTTCAATGCGCATCCAACAGCGTTGGGTATAATAGATATTTTGATTGAACTTGTTGAGCAATTTATGAAATTATGAAATGACGTTTTTGGCGAAAATGTCGAGATTTTATATATCAAGGTCCCACAAAGATGATTTCAGAGGTTGCTTTGGATCGAGAGAAACATTTTGATTTGATATATACCATATTAAAAGTCTTCATTTTCAAGGTGAAAAATGCGATCGTTTGATTTTCGTGAAAAACCATGAGGGGTACCGCATGCTTTTTGGTCGATTTTTGGCCATGTTTTTTTTGGGGCCAAAAAGTTGAGCAAAGGTATCAGGAATTTACTGCTACTTGAGTACAATTGTTTGGCGTCATTCCGGTGGCTCAAAAAGGTCTACATGTCAAGATATGAAGGCGTGAAAACTGTTAAATTTGGTTGTGTTTTGCTTTATACCTTTTGTTTACACGGCATGAATCACATCTTTAGTAGCTGAAATTTACTAGAAGGGTAGTTCTGCCGTTTATGCAATTTCTAATTTGAATAGAAGACATATTGATTTTGGTAAGGCTGATTCATGCAAATTTTGATGCTTTGTGTTGTTGGTAAGCTTATTAATCTTAAAAATTGAAACGAATACTATGGTTTTGCACCTTCACTTCGCTACAGTAAACCCTCACCCCCAAACCCCCTCCCCATTGTCGGCTTTACCGGTGGGTTTGTTCACCTTTGTCCAGCTGTTAATTCTTTAGAATTATATTTGAAAGAATGCGATTAGCTTGTCTATTTTTTAAAAAACATAGTTTTCCAGTATATATATAGTGAAGATTATGCTACATGCCAAAGACCAATTTGCGACAACTGATTGATGTTATATAATGATTCCGTGTAGCGATGATTAAATTTTACAGTAACTGCCATGCCTAGCTAATCAAAATATCAAAATATCAAATCATTTGATCTTTTGCTTTATTTGCTTCTATCTATTACATAAATTACGTTATTATTACTTTTTGGTCAGCACAGGGAACCAGGGATGATATTCAAAGATGGTATCAATGCTGGCTTTGGGGGATGTTTCGCTAATATAATTTAGCCCAATGCTGTTTGCAATAATGGTGCGGATGAGATTCTTGATATCCTTCAGTAAAATGAGAGTTAATGCTTGAATCAAGCACGACCTTATACGCCAAAATATAGCACTTACTTCTTTAAAATGACCTTGACACATTTCAGTATATGTTTTTTCTGGGGACATGGCTAATAAGCCTTCCAATACCTTTTTGGCTTCTGCAAAATCGTTCTTAATGATTTCAATCATTCTTGAGACTTCAAAATCTTCGATGTTTACGATTTCCGAGAACTGCTGGTAGGTTGGATGGGGAGGCGAAATGAGAGAAACAAAAGGTTTAAAGCGATGCAGGTACCGAGTTTCTTCATCGTCAAAAATGAGGCTGCGCTGATCGAACTGATTCGTATACTTTGCAGTGAGTAGCAGTTTGAGCATGGCTTCAGACAAGCATTTCTTGCTATGGTTCATTGACTGGTTTGTGAGTAGATAGTTGTATACATCTGGTGTCTGAATAGATTGATCCACAAAGTTGGAAATACGGTCCAGCAAATATGCTCGGCTCCCTAATACACATTGCGTATACCTGAAGAGATAGTGTTACAAAGTTTCTATTCAACAAAAATGCCAATACTTATGCTATTTACCAGTAAACCATGATGTATTCATGTGATCCATACAAATCCAATTCGAATCCCAAATACAAAATCTTTTCAATCATTGTCAATTTCAAATTGTAAGCCCAGGAGGAGAAATAATATGGAGTTGCAGCATCTTTCTCATTCTTCTCGAGCGCATGAAACACCTCATCAACACTAGCCGCTTCTTCTTGCAAGATTTCCCATTCTGCAACGACTTTACAGAGCATTCTTCGCTGGCGTGATCGATTGTGACAGTTTATCTTGAAGTATTCGACAAATACCATTGAAATTCTATCCAGGTACGTCTTTAATGTGTCATGTGCATTGATGAACTCGGCTGGATTGATGTGAGCGGGTTGTCTCATTGGCGAAGTCCACCAAACTGGAGGTTGTACGGTTTCCTTGATGGAATCCAAGATGAATTTGGAGACAGCAATAGTGCCAAAGATGCGTTGATTATGGAAGAATATCGACTGTGTGAACGAGCAGAATTAGTATCTTCCACTTGATTGATTTTTCCATGCTCACATTCAACTTGGATCTCGAGAAAGCGTCAGGATATGGCTGATGTGCTGCAAAATCTAAAAAGTAATTTATGAGTGAGTTGACAGAGGGATAATCGTTCACATTGCAAATTGAATGTAAACGTTGAATCAGCAAAGTGTATTCTTTGAATGATTCTTGGACAGAGGATAGCTCAACAGGGCGCGGAGGTGTTTGTGAGGTCAATTTGCGGTTAATGTTAGGATCGAAAGCATTTGCTACTTCATTTCCGATTGTCAGATCCACTGTTTCCAGCAACTCGAGGATCTTCTTCAGTTCTGATTTTGCAGTTACCAAGTATGAACCTTCCAGTTTCGACAAATATACAAGCGACAGTAGAAATGATTTGCGGATTTCGACTCGGCTCAGTATGGCTTTTACAGTGTTCTTTTGTGAATCTATGATAATGTGTGAATGTCATGCTCAAACATCAAAAGGAACAACCATTTTACCCGAGATTTTCGTGTTCAATAAATGGTTCAGCAACATGATGGAGCTATCGATATCGTTGAATATCATCACATCAGGATTTTGATCGTTGAAATGCAAGCCGAACAGGTTAGTTGTAAAATCCTCTTCCTGTCATTTGCTACAATGTTAGATCAAGGACTGTGTGCATTGTCAGCGTTGTTTACCTCGTATACGTTGCCCTGAGTCATCTCAGTCCAAATATAATGACAGCATTTCACCGTAGCAAGGATATAGGATTTCAATACGCCATAGATAATGTCCTCCATGTTTGATGTCAAAGTAGGCATAGGTAATTCGTTTAACTTTTTGATGTGGTGAAAATAAATACATGTGTATACAGTCTGTGCAAGTGAATGGCCCGAGATCCAGGCCATTTCACGCACAACGAGCCTATCCATAATGCCCAGTGCATCCTCAGACGATGTTCGTTTCTCAATATCGAAGCTTTCGAGTGTGTGTTCAATCACCATGCCTGTGTCCATGCGAGGATCCATGATTTCAATGGCACTCATAGCATCAAATAGCGTAAATGATTGTAGATGCACCAACTGGCCCACGTCAAACTCTAATTCAAGAGTGATAAGATCCTGCTACTCCATGTCAAGATGTATATCGCATACCGCTTGTTGCTTCATCCAGGAAGGAAGTGATGTCTTTCCATTGTGGTAAAAGGTATTCTTGTTGTTCCTCTTCGTTGGGTATGTTAATATTCAACTCGATAAAAGCGTCTATCTCATTATTAAACCACTTTTTTTTTTACAATGATAGTACAAAGAAATGAATGGCTCTCTTTACCTTGCAAATCGCCAAGTGGTTCCTGCATTGCCCAGTAAGAGATGAAAAGGCAAAATTAACCAGGTAAAAACAAACAAAAAAAGTGGTTCAAACGATTGTAAACCTTGGGTAGTACGCTTGATGGTGCAAGTGGTGGCTGAGTTGAAGATGGTGGGGCAGGGAAGGCGATAAAAGACGAGAATTGCTTTGAAAGCTTTTCAATTCCATTGCCTTTTTTTTATACTATTAATTTCAACATTTGATTATGGACAACGTACTTGAAAAGCAAAGAGCGTATGTTGACTTGTCTGCTTGCGTTGAATGTCTACTAATCATTTATGCAGTGCTCATGAAGACCTTGAGCGCCTTGAACAAGCCATTGTTGAACAGTACATGGATGATGCAAAAACACATCGTGAAAAGCTCTACAGCGAACACGTAGTCGACAAATTTCTGACTCGTATAGCTGACAAGAGTGCTTATCTTGCCGAATTGTACCAGGATAAAGACGGGTAAGTCGTTGATGGCATGGACCTACGAATGAACGCGAGTATATATATATATATATATATATGTAACTGCTTGTTTATTAGGCTTCGCAGTTCTGAAATGGAGGCGCTTACCGGATCTTCAGATTTCAGCGAGTTTTATGAGCGTCTCAAGGTGATCAAAGAGCATCATCGCAAATTTCCCAACGAAGCAGTTGAGCCACCAGAGATGGAATACATCCACCTCACTCAAAAGAAAGACGAGGAGGACTATCAAGGTAGAGTCAAAGCAGAGGTGAATTGCGGCCTAAACTCATTCATTTACGTAGAATTGGAAAAGCTGTTTTCTGGCGAAGAGAGCCTCGGTAGATACCTCGATTTGAACGCACTTCATACACTTTACATCAACTTGAAGGGCGTCAAGAAGCTGGATTACCTACAATACTTGAACGAATTCGATGATTTTGCCACCAACTATCCCAAATCAATCAAATCAACTGAGGAATACAAGGCTTATATCAACCAGTTATTCGATTACCTCCACAGCTTTTTCCGCAGAGCAAAACCACTCTACAACACTGCTGAATTAGAAGAAGAGGTGCTTGAGGAGTTCAACAGACAATGGGAATTAGGTCAAGTGAAGGGCTGGGAGCAAGTTGATACCAAAAACGAAGAGCTATTTTGTCCCGCCTGTCAAAAGCAATTCTCCAAAAAGACCGTTTACGACGCTCATTTGACAGCCAAGAAGCACATCAAAGCACAAAAGAAGTTAGAGGAAGAGCAAGGCTCCAGCAGCAATGCTGTCGTAGTCAAAGATGACAAGAGAAAAGCGATTGCTTGGAAGGAGCGTTTGATTGCAAAATATGCAGAGGCACTGGCTGATTTCAGAGAGGAAAGTAAATCCAACGTTGAACGTAAGCAAGCATTAACAGATAAAGAGCGTCTGGTAAGTCTTCATTTTGTGCTGTTGTCAGTTTGCAAAATTAAAAGCATGTTTCTTTAGCTGGAACAAGAGGAGGAGAAAGTTGAACTTGTGGATCAAGATTCTGATGATGAGGATGACGAAAAGATCTATAACCCACTCAAACTGCCACTTGGTTGGGACGGTAAACCAATCCCTTACTGGCTATACAAGCTTCATGGTTTGGGCGTTGAATACCCTTGTGAGATCTGTGGTAATTATGTATATATGGGCAGAAAGGCATTTGACAAGCACTTTCAAGAGTGGCGACATGCACATGGTATGCGCTGTCTGGGTATACCAAATACAAGACAGTTTCATGAAATCACTAGAATTGATGATGCCTACGCATGTAAGTTTGATACCACCGTAGAAAAAAAAAGGTTTTCATATTGATCTAACAACGCGCGTGTGCAGTATTTGAAAAGCAAAAGAAGGAAGGTGTTAGTGAGGAGGTCAAAGCAGACACAATTGAAGAGTACGAGGATGGAGAGGGCAATGTGTACAACAAAAAGACGTATGAGGATCTCAAACGACAGGGTATTCTTTGATTTCAGTACAAAATAAATGCAATAAAGGCTGTTTAGGTCATTGAAAAACTGCCATCTGAACAAGCTGGACATATGAATACTAAATTTAATTTATTCAACATGTAAATTGCAAGAGAGAAAAAGAGATAAAATACGTGTGCAATCAGAGGGGATATTATATATACTATGAGAGAAAAGAATATGATACGAGTTACTCTGCTGCAGCAGTAGAGCTTGGGGTTGCCACTGCAGATGCATTTTCAGTGACAGGTGTGCCCACCACAGCAGCAATGGATGCAGCGACAGTAGCATTGTCAGGCGATTCACTACGATCGACTTGTTCTAATTTCGCTGATAAAAGAGCAGCATCCACTAATGGTGATTCCGAAGGCATGGCTGTGGGCACAGGGGAAGTCGCAGCGTTGCTTGAGCTTGCAACAACCGAATCCATTGTTGGCATTGCAGCAGCTGATGTGGAGGCGGCGGCACTTTGCAAAGGAGGCTTGATCATCATTCTTTCAATCATCTCATTCGTGTCATCAGCAGCAACGAATTCTTGACGAGGACCGTAGAATCTTTCTGGAGAATACTTGTTTTGCAATGTCTGTAATAATGTCTGGTTTTCAGGCTTTTGGAATTCGCGCATGAATTCGCCCCATTCACCCGTATTGAAGTTATGCAGCAATTTACGGCCGGATACCTGCTTACTCAACAGCAAGAAACCGCGACCCACGACACCACAAACTTGACAGATACGTTCGCCAATGGTCAGACGACGACGGATAGCTTCCCAATTGGTATTCACAAGTACCTTTTCGATTTCACTACGGCATTGGACCAAAATGGGTCTGGGATCGCCACCCTCCATTTGCTGCTGTTGCTGTCTTTCTGCCTCCAAATCACGATAAGCCAGGTACAGTTGAAAGTACTCGTAGTTGTAGTAAACACCAGCGTTTTTAGGAGCGAAATCACAGTCGTAATGGGCAAGCAAGTTGGCGAATGCTGAGAAGCGATGAATAGGAGGGAGCATGCCAAACTTGGTTGAACGTTCGTGGCCTTGAATGATCAGTTTGACCTCGCCTTCCACAATATTTGCTTGGTGCATCAAATCAGCTTCTGAAACCTTGAGCAAGTCCTGGATCACCTCGTTGCCTGCGTATGAAGTGTTGTATTAGGATATTGCACATGTGTTTTGTATATGCTACTTACGTCTCACGGCGTATTCCTTGTCTCTAGGAGAGGCCTTCTTGGCTCTCTTTGTACCATCCTTGTTCTCAGCATTGTTCTTTCTCTTTGAGGTGGCTGCAGGAGCAGGACGAGGCTCTACGTGGGGAGCAGTGACCGAGGCCAGAGCCGCTTGGAGCAAATGTTGAGGCGAGCCATCGGCAGCAGCAGCCGAGAAGAGATTTGAGGAATGGGTGCTGTCCACATCGTGCATGATACCGGCAGCGGTACCGGCCATCTTCATTGGCTCAAGAGAAGAGCCATCTTGCTGCTGTTGTTGTGGATGAGGTGGTTGATGATGCTGAAGCTGTGATTGTTGTAATTGATCTTGGGACTGATGCTGTTGCTGAAAGATGACGGTATCGTGCTGCGTACCAGCTACATTGACAGCAAATATTTGCTGCTCTTGTCTAAACATGATTTTGGACATGTTTGGCACTTTGAGAAAGGACACAGTGTCACCGAGAGCATGGCAGAGCGCAAAGAACATGCTGCCCGTCTGCTTGGGAGAGCCTTGCGTCTTGATGTCCTTGACACATTGATAGAATCTCAGGATGCGATCGTCGCTCAATATATCCGCTAGTGTTGGCGATAGAATGCTGCAATCTTCCTGTTGCTGCTGACTGTCTGCTGTTGTGTTGGCGTAGCCATCTGCTCCTCCAGCACCTTGTTGTTGAGAAGATGTGTCCATTTGGGATTTTTTCGAATTTAAATTTCACACAAAATAAAATGCAGCTCTATCGATGGAACGTCCGGACTGGAACAGTTGATGAGAGAAAGGCTTTCAAAGGTGAGAAAACGTTGCTTTTGATGAAAAGGAAAATACGAAATACAAAAGATCTGGTATGAACCGGACAATATCCACAACATTTGCTAAACGGAAAATTTTTCTCGTCCGATCATGTGACAAGTCTGTTGAATTTTAGAGGAACGAATGCTGCCTTGGCTAGTGGCCTTTGAATCGCATGTGGAGCTTCAACAGGTGAATTGATCCAGGGATCCATTGCGAGTGGATCTGATCAGCAGAGATCAACAAAGCCAGCCAGCCAGCAACGCAGCATTTACATTGTGGTGGCGACATCTGAGCATAGGATGCGATGTCGATCTCTCAACCTCATGGTTCATGGCATTTGATCTGGCATGATTCCCTAAATCAGCTATGATGTAACTCAATGCCCTTGATTTCAAAAGATGCGTAGATTTTATTTGGAAGAACGGTATTTTTGCTCTAATAACCATGCTGCATCAACAGCCTCTTCAATAGCAGTTGCATTGGCCTGAGATGCCTTTTGAAGTGGGTTGCGACACACGCCATGCCCATACCCTAATCTCTTTTGGATAAAGCTCTTGATACCTGGAATACCATGCCATCTGCACAATGCATCGTCTGCTTCCACCAGCTTCTTTTGTAACGCGATAGCCTCCTGAAGCCTATTGTCCTCATATAATACCTGAATTTGAACGCAAAGCGAGGGAAACACATTGCCTGCACCGGGAATCAATCCAACGGCACCAATCAACAATTCAGGCAAGAAGAAATCAACAGAACCGGCCAGCAATGTCACATCTACTATAGGATGAGACAAATAGACTACGCCATGGCCATCCTCCACTCACCTTCAGAATTGGTCTTGTTGACCAAATTTGCCATCTTGCCAACATTGCCATCAGTGCCTTTAACGCCGATGATGTTCTTATGTTTTGATAATTCTACCAGCAATGGGATGCTCAAATCAAGACCTTGACAGACGCCGGGATAGTTGTAAATGACAACAGGCAAGGGAGAGTGATCTGCCACTGTAGTATAAAATTGATATAAAGCATCATGATCCATGGATCCTTTGTAAAATGAGGGCGGTAGAACAAGGACAAAACCTGCTCCAGCTTCAGCAGCTTGCTTTGTGTAGGTGATGGTGTTGCGAGCGCTTTGACTGGAAGTACCAGCGATGATCTTGAGGGAACGATTGTATTTCTGGACACTGTCTGAGCATTGTCGAATGACTTGGACTCGCTCATCATCAGACAAGTTTACAGCTTCACCCATAGATCCCAATACAACGATACCAGCAATACCTGAATTAGCAAGATATTCAATATGTTTATCAAAGGCTTCTAAATCAAGATCCTCGTTTTCCCTGAAAAACGTAGGTACAGGGACGAATACACCACGGCCGAGAGAAGTCATTTTGTTATAATAGATGCTGTTAAAATAAAAATCAAACACTGGAATAAAGAGCGAGTATTTATATTTTTTTTTTGTCATCTGCTGAATAAACAAACTAACACAGACTTCTCACACCTTGAATCTCGCGTAATAGTTTCCCTCAGCTTCCCATCAGCTTGCATTAATCTAGATTCGCAATATTATTAAATCCCTAATGTCCGGATCTAATGTTGCTTCTGTCTGGATTAGAAACGCCATCTTATCCTGGCTATCACTGAAATGTATACTATCCCAAATTCCCATCGCCTCTCATTTCAAGAGAATGGCCAATGGCTCGGAGGGACATTGCTTGCTCGTCAAGCCCCGGATAAGTCCATCCAAAAGCTTTGGAAGATGGAGCTTCCGTGCCCGGTTAGCTCGTGTAGCTCGGTGCCTCTTTCCGATCAACAACAGCTTATCAGTTGATCTGGTCAGTGGCTAGTTACTAGCATCCTACGAATGTGTATTGAAATTTCCCCATTCAAATTGATACTGTAATATAAAATCCCTCCATAAATAGCCTGTGGCTGTGGATCTAACTCTTAGGCGACGCTTCATATCTGTATCAACAAGAAAAATCTACACAAGTGCAGAGAGCATGCTGGCATTGCCTATTACTATGCGAAAATATGCAAAACACAGCGAAATATGGCTGCATTTAAGGCGTAATTTCTCGTGTTGAAAGCCGTTCTAGACTTCCAGAATGACACCACACAATCGCTCTCGTCTAGCATCTGCTTCCTGGCACCTTTACTCGGATTTTTTGAGATCGCCGAAAATCGACCAAAAAACCATGAGGGATACCTCATGGTTTCCATCGAAAATCAAACGATCATGTTTTTAACCGCAAAAATGAAGACTTCCTCTATGACATATATTAACTCAAAATGTTTCTATCCATTCATGACAACCTCTGAAGACAGATTTGTGAGAATTTGAGATGCAAAATCTCGACATTTTAGTCAAAAACATCATTTCATATTTTCAAAAATTGCTCAATAAGCTTCTTTAAAACACTTGTATTTATTGTTAACATTAGATGCGCCTTGAAAAGTACTTCAAGAAAGCATAAGGGCATATAGGATGATTACCACGTTTACTATAGTCGAAGTTCAGAAAATAGATCAATTGAGTCGATTCTGTCCTACTTTTGACCAATCTGGAAGAAACAAGAAAAGTCTGCGTTTTAAATATTTTGGCTCGCTAGCTGCTGGCGGGCAAAGTTGACGCTCATTGAACCATGAAAACATCCATGTGTTGAAGCTATTCAGAAGGTGATTATAAGTGGAAAGGTGCCATAACTTAACTTGTATACTTTAATCTGCTTTCTGTAGTCATTCCCGTATCGGAAGAATGCTTAATTGGTGGAAAATGTCCATCCAAATGTAAAAACTGCTGCGAAATGTTAAGTGATCACCCTACTCAAACAGCTATCAAGTATCCTAATTTTCATTATATACTAATTTGAAAGGTCTACGGCGACAGCTCGCAAGGCAACACCGTCTTCGAGCGTAGCGAAGTTGTATCTAATTCGACATTTGGCAACATTGACCTATAAGAGGGTTTCACCATAGCAAGGCGAAGGTGCAAAACCATGGGAACAAAGCATCTAACCCAACATTTGGTAATATTAATCTCAATGAGGGTTTTACCGTCGCGAAGTGAAGGCGCAAACCATAGTATTCAAGCAGCAAATTCGGGTTTTCATTTCCATTGTTAATAGGCTTACCAGCAACATAGCGCATCAAAATTTGCATGAATTAGCTTTGCTAAAATCAATAAGTCTCCTATTCGAATTAGAAATTGCTCATCAAGCTACAGAACTACCTTTCTAATAAATTGCAGCTACCAAAGATGCGATTCATGCCGTGTAAATAAAAGGTATAAAGCAAAACACAACCAAATCTAACAGTTTTCACGCCTTCATATCTTGACATGTAGATCTTTTTGAGCCACCGGAATGACGCCAAACAATTGTACTCAAGTAGCAGTAAATTCCTGATACCTTTGCTCAACTTTTTGGCCCCAAAAAAAAACATGGCCAAAAATCGACCAAAAAGCATGAGGTACCCCTCATGGTTTTTCACGAAAATCAAACGATCGCATTTTTCACCTTGAAAATGGAGACTTTTACTATGGTATATCTTGAATCAAAATGTTTCTCTCGATCCAAAGCAACCTCTGAAACCACTTTTATGAGATTTTCATATGCAAAATATGGTTATTTTCGCTAAAAACCTCATCTCACATTTTACCAAATTGCTCAATAAGTTAATTCAAAATACTTATTACAGTTAACATCATTGGAAGCGCCTTGAAAAGTACTTCAAGAATGTATTAGGAAGCGTAGGGTGATCATGACAGTTTGTATAGTCGAATATCACAAAATAAATTAAAGAAGTCGAAAAAAGACGAAATCTGTCCAATCTTTAACAGAAAAAAAAATAAACTGAGTTTGAATCAATTTTAGTAGCGGGCGGCGCTGCTGCTGGCTGTCCCAAATGCGTTTCTGTTGATGACAACGATGATTGCGATGCTGATTAAATGGGGATCATGGAATTGAAAAGGACAATTGTTTAGCCCAAATACTTTTTTGGGGGAGCTTTGCCTCATGAAGGCGTCTTTTGCAATGACAATATCTCAAAAAAGTCGCTGTAGACCTTACACAAATCCTGTATTTACTTATGGCCAGCTTTATGTCGCCATCTTATTAAGAGCATTAGCAGCAGCAAATGATATGACAATCCTATTCTCAAAGAATGGCGGCTGTGATGTACAAATGTTGCATAAGATTTGAATTTCATTCGCATTGTCCCAATAATACATCGAGCGCGGCGAGATAGATCTGTTAGTGTATATGTACAGATGTCTTACGGTTTCGTTTTGAAATGCTTTCTGTTCTAGCAGATTGAAAAGAACCTGATGCGCTATGACTGGCCGGTGTGAATCCGAGACTATCATTTATAATTAGCCAACGAGCTATAAATATATCTTCGCCCTGTCTTGTGTGCCCCGCAAAATTTATAAACAGACATTCTTACTTTTGAACGCCCTTTTCCTCTTCTTTCCTTCACTCACACACATATCTATATATTATGGCAGGTTCAGATTTGCCTTTCCCAAACAATGCAAGGTCGGAAAATACATCGCTATTTGGTGCTGCTCGCTTTGGAAGAAAGAAGAGAACCATCTTCTTCTTGTTGCTCGTTGCCATCTTTTTCATCTTATGGTTCAACTCTGATTTAGATCGCTCCAGTTCAAGTATCACATCTCATGTGCCTGACGATGCTACTGGCATCAGCCCTGATAGTCAGAAGTCTGGAGTTGCCGAGAATGATAAGAAACCCTCTCCAAAGGTAGACTTGGAGGTGGAGGAGGAAGAGGAGGCAAACCAGATAGAAGAAGAGGAAGCCTTGAACGAGGAAATTCAAAAAGAAGCCGTTCCTACTAGAAAGCCTACTACCAACACAAACACCTCAAGTAAAAAACCTAGCAACTCGGTTACTACCATCAAGATGCAGCCTCAACACTTCAAATACTTTATCGTGATCGCTTCCCGAGCCACCAATCTCAGTCGTCGACAATTGATTCGTAACACATACTTTGGCTTGGGTGATAATATCGAGCCATGTATGAAGAGAGATAAGGGCTTGAACTATCTTTTCTGGATTTATGGTGATGAGCCCGCTGCCAAAACCCCTGAACGCCGTTTATATGAAACTGAAAAGATGGAGTGGAATGATTTGGAAAAAGTCAATGCTAAATCATACAATCAAGACGAAATCTTGAAATGGGTAAAATAGTGGTTATCTGCGACTTTTTTTTTTTGGGTCAATTATACTAAAAATAACAATTCTGTTAGGCCAGTTCTACTTTAAGCGAAAGAGGTGTAACTTTTGACTACTTGATCATTCAAGATGGCTACTCGCTTATCCAGCTCAACTATATCCAGCAACAAATTCAGTCTGAAGTAGGTAAAATGTGGGAGGTTGGAAAGACTGCAAATGATATTGCTTGGGTGTCTCCAAAGAACAGTAATGTTCTTGTGGCTGGTGTGGATGCTGTCAAGAAGCTGTTGGAACGTGAATCTGACATGAAGGATGTTGTTGCTGAGGGTGGCGCTACTTTGATGACAAACTTCTACGAGTTCTACAGATCCATCACGGTCCAACTCAAGCATATCACTGCTAAAAAGCAAGTAGAGCGTTTGCAAAGCTTCAAGAACGAATTGCCCATCTTTATTGATGATCACACCCGCTTCAACACTTGGGGAAACAATGTTGAATCCATTCCAGACATGACCATTGCCGTTTCCAACATTTACCAGGACACTGATTTCACCGCTGTCGCAAAAGCTTTAAACGTTGGGGTTGCCTCCCTATGTAAACCATTTGAAAAGGCTAGCATTGCCGTAGTAACCTCCTCATTCATCTACCCTGATAGCTGTATGGAGCCCTCTGCTGCTTTAGCTGCTGACAACAAGCGTCAATATGCCATCGCTCACAACTATGCATTTGTTGCTCGTTCGAATGAATTTGCTCAACAAGAATTACGAACCACCAAGCGTCGAACTGTGTGGGGCAAGATTGATGCAGTACAAAAGGTGCTTCCCAAATACGACTGGCTTTTCTGGATGGATATGGATGCTGTCATTATGAACCCTAATATCACAGTGCAAGGCATTCTCGATGATTTGCGTGCTAAATATCCAGATGGTCCTCGTGCTTTTGAGAAGAACATTGATTTGGTGATTGCCAAGCCCACAAAGGATAAGATGATCAATGCCGGTGTTTTCTTCATGCGTAACACAGAGTGGGCTCAAAAGTTTTTGAATGCGGTACAAGATTCCAAGAAATGGTACAACCAAGGACCTTCTTATGAACAAGGTGCTATGTGGGATTTGATTCAACTGCCAGGCTACAAGGAGCGTGTCCTTTTACTCGAAAATGATGACCACACCTTCAACACATTGCCCTATCGCTATGTGCCTGGAGATTTCATCGTTCATTTTGCTCCTGATAAATGTCCTGGTCCTGCTGTTTTGAATGGCCTTGAGGCTGCTGAATTGATTCAACAAGGCGAGGTTATTACTTCCTTTAAAGAGGATTAAATGTGTGTTGATAGACTCTATTTATTCTTTACCTGTAATTAGTCTTTTCCAATTAAAATATTTTGTTTTCATCATTTCCAATTGCTGTGGCTTAATCAACTAAAATTACGATGCTCAGTTATTCGTCAAATGAATTATTTATAGTGGCATGTATCAAAGATACGTACGCTGAGGGTAGCTACTATAGTATTTACAACCGAGTACTGTTGCGACATTAACCACTCTCAAAAGATGTTGTTTAGTGGAGGAATGGCAGCTTCAAACGCCAACCCATTTAGACAGCATTGGTCTGCAGGACACTTATCGTAAAAATCACTACTTGTTTGTGGCTACAATGCACCAAATGCTAGCAATTTGCAACGTTTGCTCTTGCAAAGCAAGACCATAGTATAAAAGTCGAGAAATATAATGCGATCTAGATATATAATGGAGCTAGGTAACCCCTGTTTGCACTATACGAAATGTCCCAATCCATGACTCGAATTAGTTGATATACTGTATATGAAACCACAGATCGCCCAAGCTCAGATGTCAAAGCAACGGTGAACCTAGGCTTGGCAATAGCCATTATCTAATGGCAGACATGGCGTATTCTCAATGGATCCTGTCAGTAGTGTGGACTTCAACCGTCACCATGCTGTTTTGTGATGCCTAATGTTGCATGTCCATAACATTCCCTGGTTCAAACGTTCTTTAGCTCAAACAGAACAACAAGCAACGAACTGCCAAACACACAAGTGGTACGTTTTTTCTGCATTGATGTCAATCTTCTGATTCTCGAACGGCCTCGATTTACTAAAATTAAATATCTAAACTCCAATTTACCCAAAATGGCGAAAATAAAGCCTATAAATGTTAATTGAAATTGTCCATTTATAGTGTTTTTAAACATTAAAAGGTGATGTCCGGTTTCTGACAGCAGATATTGAAGCTCAATGCCGTGATTTATTACAGTCAAGTGCATTAGGTTGATAAAAGTGGGGAGAGGGGCACGGCGTACTCATCGCATCACAGAACTAAAGGTATATACACTGTGACTAAAAAAGATCTGAATATTGCTGAATATTTCTGAATCCATTTTTCGGAAAACTGCCACTTTACGAAAAATTTGTCGAAATTTTTCTGAATGGCATTCTTAGAAATTCGGAAAAGTGCTCACTTAATTCAGAAAAATTCAGAGAAATTCATTCTGGAAAATTCAGAAAAATTCATGTAGTTTAGGGTGGTTTGCAAAATATTCATAAAAAAATAAATCAGAAATATAATAGCATTTAGTGCTATTATAATAGAAACCATTGTTTATTTCTTGACATATAATAATTGCGCTACTACTACAGAGAAACATGATGATATTACATTACGGGCAGTAACAACAAAGCGTAGCCTAATCAGAATAAGCATAGAGATCAGAATTCCTTACGACTTGCGCACTCTCTTATTGTTGGGTCCCTAATACACAAAGATAAGTAGCTCCATCTATGATATCAATGCCTTACGATTACCTTTATGTTTCTACAATTTAAGAGATAGAGAGAATATCAGCATAAAATGGCTAACTCCAGGTGATGATGAGAAACTTACTGTCTTTGCAAATCTTGCGTTTCTGGTGATGAATATCTTCTGTGCTTTTCATATTCCTTTGCCTTTGATTTGTTTGATGCAGATACATTTTTTGATACTGGAGATGGCTGCATTGGCTATAGTGATAGTGCACATTATAAAATGGAAAAGAAATGTGAGTTACTGCGCTATATCTATGAAAACTTAATTACTTGTTCTACTAGAGGCATATGTTGCGTGCTGATTCTTCTATAATATTACGATTAGTATCAAAGAGTACTTTTCTCTATGCAGCATTTACTTTTGTGATCCAGTATTTCGAGAAACATGAAAATTGATCTTGTCTACAATCGAATTTTCGTCATCGTCGACAGAATCTTCTTCGGATTGCGCTTGGGATCCCTCAGAAAATACCAGATCATCTTCATCGAATTGGGTTTGGTAAGTTGCGGTGTCATTGCTTGGCCTGGCATTGTATTTGTAATCGATTATGCCAGACAATGATTTGGAGACAGCAAACTGCGGCAACCAATCTTTGAAGAACCCAGAGATGTCAACGCCCTTTTTGGCTACATCGTCTATGACGGTCTTGATTAACAAGGCTTGAAATCTGTTGTCCAGCTTGCTAAAAGTGATATTTGGGAACTGTCTATCAGCTTTCTTTGCCTGGTTGTATGCTGCATCTTTGACAAGCTCCCAGACCTTCTTGCCATCAAGGTTTTCCCCACCTAATCGATGCTCTTCAAGGACGTTGATGCATAGCTCAACAGAAAGCTCCTCCAGATGTTTGCTATCTGCTTTGCTTGGACGGCATATCACTCCATCTAGTCTCGCAACATTGGCCGTGCTCGAAGAGGTAGATTGTTGAACAATATGCTGCAGCATAGCTTTTACTTCGGTCTGGTTGTCATTACATTCCTTGACCTGTTTGCTAAGATTGGACAACTCCTGTTCAATGTTCTCCAATCTTTGTAAGAATAGTTGTTGTGCTTGATCCATTTTTGAATAAGTGATTAGTGTAAAGTGTAAAATAGAGCAGTGCTTTGAGATGGTTGTATCAATTGCGATAAATGCGTAACAATCTATGAAAGACAGAGAAAAACTGGTCTAGTAATGTTTCCAATAATTAATAGCACCCGCTATCACAGACATTGATGTTTCAATCATGCAGATTGAAACGCATGCAATGTGAACTATTAGATTTCACTATAGATATTCACATGGCTATTCAATACCAATCAAAGTGTATTCTATGTTCAATATTGCATGCGTTTCAATCTGTATGATTGAAACGCATGCAATATAAGGAGCATAAAAGACAATCCAGACAGATTTGTGTTTAACCTTTATTTCTAATATTATTTACGATGCCATTTTTTTGTGCCCAGTGTTGCCGAAGAATTCGCAATAGACATGAAAAACAGCATAAACTTTGGCACTCTTCAAATGACACAACAACTGTAGACTTGCACAACCTGGAGACTAATCAGTATCAAAGAAAGAAAGCAAGAACTGAACATGATACTCAGGCTGGACCTTACACTGAAAGAAATAGTCAGCAAGAAAACAGCGATGGTGAACCTGGTAGCGATGGTGAACCTGGTAGCGATGGCGGATATGACTTTGGAGACTCTGATGGACTCGGCGCTAACTATAGTGACAATCAGATGTCTGACAGTTGCGAGGCATTACCACCACTGGATGCTAAAAATACTGAGATCCACAAGATCTTCAGGGAAGAAAACTTGACAAACTCAAGCATCCGAAGACTTGTTCAATGGCACAACCAAACGTATCCTTGTAAGTAACCATAACAAAGTTGGTTGTTTCAAAGCGCTAACATCTACTATGATAAGTTGCAACGCCTATAGTCTCAACATTCAAGGCCAGCTCTGCTAGGAAAAGGGCAACTTCTTTTGCACCTTATACAGTCGATGTGTGCATCAGGTATTGCTATGCCTTTCAACCAGAGGATGGGGACGAATGTCCAGTGTGCTTTGAAAAGAGATTCGATATTGATGGTAGCCCCAGAAGAACCATCAAGATGCTGCCAATCGGTCCACAACTTGCCACGTTGTTCGAAAATCCAAACTTTATCAGAGTGCTTGATGACGAGAATTCATCCATCAGAGCAAGGTTCAAGGGCGATATAATGCAAAATTTAGTGAACAACAAGCATCTATTCAACAATAGATACGACATTGGCCTGTCCCTGTACGTAGATGGATTCCAATCACACAAAAAAGGCGGTGCAAAGTTGAACTTGGTCATGCTACAAATCTTGAACCTTCCTTCTGCCTATAGATACAAAATGGAGTTCCTGATTGATTTCGCCATTATCCCAAACACCAAGAGATTAGACAGTTACCTTCAATACCTTGTCAGCGAATTGGAAAAATTGGCTCGTGATGGACTACAAGTGCAGAGAAACAACTCAACAAATATCTCGCTCAAAGTCCACCTCATGGGATCCTTTGGTGATATCCCCAGCGTCAGCGAACTCAATTTCCTCGCATCCCATACGTCGCTTCAAGGCTGCCGTTTTTGTACGATCATTGGCATCAGCAAAAATGGTGTTATTTCTTTTCAACTAGCAGCTAATGATGAAGATCGACCACTACGATTGCTAACAATTGAAGAATACAAATCCAGTGCACCAGAACTTGGTATCGAGAGGCCTTCTTTGTTTCGAAACCTGCCATCATTCATTGATCCAACGTTTGTGGGCTTGGATGAATTTCATTTGTTTGGACAAAACATGGGACCAAGAATCAAGAAAATGTTTACGGACAAGGAATCGATTCTTCGCTTGAAGCCGCGACAAATAGAGAAGATTAGCATTTGCTTGAACCAACTTGCAAGCACATCACCTTTGATCTTCGAAGGCAATTTCATGGATGTCTTCAGCAAGGGAGGGACAGCTCGAGGAGTAGATTGGTTGGTGTTCCTGAAGTACTTTGTGCCCACAGTTCTTATCGACCACGTTGATTTATGCCATTTGGATCCTACTGTCTCTGAAGCTGCCAAGGAAGCCCTACGTACAATATCTCTGATTTGCTCAGTATGCTTGCAGCAGGATATATCTGAGAGCGAGATACAAAAGTTGGAGGAACTAATAACCAAGTGGCACCAATTTCTTCGTCTTCACATCTCAGCAAAATTCTTTCCAATCAGTGAACATTATTTGGAGCATATCACGATGGTGATTCGAAAGATAGGCCCCATGCCTCAGTACAGTTGCCGTGTTTTGGAGAGAAGGATCCAAATGATCAAGAAGAGGATCCATGGCTGTAGTCAAGTTGCAAAACAAGCGGAAAATATCATGCTGGATATTGCATGTAACAGCTATGAAAAAAGAAGGACAATTGCATTTGACAATTCGACGGATACTGCCATCACCTTCTCGAAATCATTGAATATGGGCGACATCAAGCTGTCACCGTCTATTGCTTCTATGTTGTGCAAACATTACAACACTGCTCGTGTCAATCCGCAGATCAAGTGCGCTACCTCACTACGACTTGGCAACAACATCACGATCGACTCTACTTTCGATCCACCAAGTAGAAAGAAGAAGCTGTCAGACCATGCCCTGGTCAATTGTGCTCGCCGCAGTTCGCTACCATTGCTGGTAAAGGTGTTGCTCATCTTTGAGCACAACTTCTCTGGTGCAACACATGCTCTAGCCGTTTGCCAAGTCTATCAGAACGTAACGGTATCAACGTCCGGCATCCCTGAATGTTTCCTTGACAATGCCAACTCGGATACTTCCAATGGTGCATGGGATCTGGATATAATAGCTGTCGATGATATTTTGTCTTCAGTTGCAATTCTGAAGTCTGCCATATCTGGGAAGCTCTTCTTTGTTTGGCCTGATATGAAAAGAATTGGTTTGAAAGTATACAATGATGATTCTATATTTGACTTTGCATAAAATAAATATACGCCAACATCATGGTCACCTTTCTCTCAAACTGATGTTTGTACATCCTTCCAAATTACTAGCCATCCCACTGTTCTATATCTTAATGCTCGTTCTTTTGCCCGGTCGCATGCAAAGCTGAAAATTCATTCCTAATAATAATAACTAGTTAATATTGTTTCCTTTCTATTGTTGCTCTGTAATAATATATCTTCTTTCTTTCTTCTTCCTATCCTATTATGACATTCAGAGACCTCTAAATAAAAAATGGAGCACGACTCCCTTACAAGAAAGAATCTGAAGCAGTTGACAAATAAGAAATAAAAATGGCGTAGCGATGACTACTCGCTTTTCTGATGAAGATCGTTTCGTGGTAAAAAAAATCGCTGAATAATATCTAAATTTTTCTAAATTTCTCCAAATTTCTCTAAGCTTAATTTATTAATTTTCATCTGCATGAATTTATCTGAATATTTCCAAAGGGATTTGGACAAATTCATAGTGATTAAGACATTTTTAGGATATTTCAGAAAAAATTGGTCAAATTCTAATATATTCAGATAAATTTGAATCTTTTTTAGTCACAGTGATAGTAACAAAATAAAGCCTTAAACTGTCAACGTCTATCATATATAAAGGTTCAATGATATGCAATGTAAATAAGGTTTATAGATACTGTATAAAACTTTACTTTATATTGAGCCGAGCTTCATGCGCGCAATGTCTAAATTTAGGGAAATGATATACTTCATGGTGAGTAATACTATCTGGGCATTGGCAGCATTTTTAAATTAACAATGCACATTAAACTGTTGATACTACAGTAATGGTAGTTACTATAATACCACCTATCATTTGTGTATATATTGAGACAGCCAAGTGTTTGGAGCTGGCATCACTACCAAAGCGTCATAAGCTACTGAACATCCTGTCTACTGTTTGTAACAAGTAATACATAAGTTGAGACCAAAAAGATGTCCTTTTTTACAAAAAATGGGCCAAGAATCTGAAACGACGTTAGAATTTTAGATATAAAAAGATGGCAATCTCCAACGCTGAAAAGGTCTATTACTTGATTATCAAAATGCGCGCTCAATCCAACGTTCTCCTTGCCGTTTCTGTTGTCGCTGCTGCTGTTATTGCTACCGCATCTGCCTCTCCTGTTGCCGCTACTGATGTCGCTGTTCCTACTATGACTGAAATGGCCACCATGAGCTTCGATAGCTCTTTTGATCAAAGTTTGAAAGAGCACAAGAACAAGGACAAGAAGCGTAAGCATGACAAGGACGAAAGCAAAACGCCAAAGACCACTGACACTACTACCAAGTCTGACAAAAAACATCACAAGACGAAATCTACTACATCTGATGCTTCTTCTACCACCAAGTCAACCAAGTCTAAGGAATCTTCTACCAGATCTGACAAACACCATCACAAGACCAAGTCCACCACATCTGAGGTATCCACTACCAAGTCTGACAAGAAGCATCACAAGTCTACCAAGACCACCAAGTCTGTCGACGCTACTACTACCAAGTCTGGTAAGAAACACCACAAGGCCAAGTCCAGCAAGTCTGATAAAAAGCATCACAAGTCTTCCAAGTCTGATGAAAGCACCAGCAAGTCCCACAAGAAGCACCACAAGACAAAGGTTCATAAAACTGACAAGAAGACTACGGCCTCTCACAAGAAATCAAAGAAGCACTGCAAGAAGCACCCTGAGGATTGCAAATAATTGACATCATGGCATAAATCGCATAGCAGTAAATACATTTTAAATGAATAAACCAATTTGCCACCTACATACTATATTGCTGTTATCATTTGGTAGCAAGAGATGAGAATGCCATTAACGCTGATGATTGTTGAGCAACTCTTAAACGTGGAAATGCACATTACTTGGGTATGTCATTCTATTTATGTTGCGCATATCGACTTTTCTCGGGAATAATGCTTCGAGTATTGCCTGATTTAGAGAAGAAAAGGGCAAACTATAGAAAATCCACATGCAGGTCAAGCACTTTTACGGACGTAAGCTGCAGAACGTGTCTACAAAACAAAAGAAGTATTTATTATCAAATTTGTCAAATGTACAAAATAGAAAAATCAATGGCCCACGTAGATTTTAGGCCTCGTGCATGTCATTCTGAGAAGCTAAAGAAGTCAAGACGCAAGTTCAAGAAGACTTTGAAGGCTACACATAAACAAACCCCAGTGTAAACACAAGGTATTTTTAGATATCAAGACCAGACCCAATTCCCAAAATCATGTAGCATGTTGTTTTCGTTCTGTCGCGCACAGACGCATGTCCCCCCCCCCTCCCCAATTGAATTATTTGATGACAGCAAAACAGTAATTTGACAGGTGCATTATTAGATGATTAGAGCGTGCTTTTCGGCGCTGCTTTTAGGAGCAAATGTGATAGCAACTCAAAACCATGCACTGTACAAGCAATTGAAGTAGTAGCATTTGAGCCTATGTACTCGTCAGTCATTTTACGCTTTCCTCGGGAATTTCCCTACTTGATACATCCATCAAGTGGCCTGGCTGATCTGTCTGCAGGCCATCTTTAATGGAATCTGTCTGCTATACATATCAAATCATCTTGTATTTAGCACATCAGGCGCTTCTTTGAACAAAAAGTGATGCATCAGGCGTTTCTTTAGAGGCATGGTAAGAGCAACGTACCCAAAACTACAACAAAAAAAACTCATCAAACGTATTAAGCGGAACCTTCTGAATCTTGCGGAGAGGTAAACGTGTTAAAGTGATATAAATACAAATGATGATCTTGTTCCATATTTTCTTCGTCCCAACATCAATCACTCAACATGGTAACTGCCAACCCCCTCACTTGGGCCTCTGGATTAGTGCTTTTCACTGCTGTTTATGCGGCCACAATACCCGAGCCATCTGCCATCACCATTCCAATAACATCCCAGCAAGTCGATAGTAATAAGATTCCACCTCTGGTTCGTAGAAAGAACAAATCTACTTCATCTGCCAGTAATGTACCTGTCTACAATATGCGTACCGAGTATATGGCCACGGTTCATATCGGTACACCTGCTCAAACATTCAATGTTATTCTAGATACTGGAAGGTAAGTGTATGGAGTGTAATAATTTCGAACCTTCTCACTTTACATTACTTATTAGTTCAGACTTGTGGGTTCCCAGCAAGACCTGCTCCAAGGATCTCTGTCCTTACAATGCTTTCGATCCCAAGCAATCAAGCACATACAAAGATCTTGACCAAGCATTTGACATTTCGTATGGCACTGCTTATGCTATTGGTGAATATGGCTCTGATGTAGTTGCATTGACAGGTGTTACTGTTACTAATCAACAATTTGCCATCGTCAATGAGACAAAGGGTCTTTACCCTAGCACTACTGGATCTGCTACGCAACCTGATGGTATTCTTGGATTGGGTTATCCTGGTTTGACAACTGGAGGATCTAATTATAATCCCCTTCTCTTTAGCATGGTAGAGCAAAAGCTTATTCCTAAGCCTGTATTCTCCTTCTCTATGGGCGGTAAGATGGCAAACATTGGCTTGACCGGTGAGTTGACACTAGGCGGCGCTAATCCCGATAGATATTCTGGCGATATTGAATATGTACCTGTCATCCCGGAAAGCCAGAACGATCTTTATGAATGGTGGCAATCCTATGGCCAAGGCATCACGGTTGTCAGCGGGAATGGAACTGTTGCTGCCAACATTCAATTGAAACAAGGTCGTCTTACAGTATTCGACTCTGGCACCACCTTGACTTATGTTGACATGTCCTTTGCAAAAAAGATATTGAACTCTATTACTGGTCAAACCAGTTTCCGAGTTACTCCTAATGCTGGTATCTTTGTCATGGATTGCAAATATAAGAGCAGTGCAGCCCGTGTCCAGCTTGCCCTGTCTCACGGAACAAAGAATGTGATTGATAAATCGCCCTTGATTATTGATGTTCCTGCCTCCAGTTTGGTCATTCCTCTCGATACTGAAGACATTGCTACTGCAAAGATTTGCGGTTGGGGTATCGTAGGCACTGCAGATAATTCCGAATTTCTGATCGGCCAGAGTCTTCTTCGCAATACGTATCTCACGTTTGATATGGAAAAGAACCAAATTGGCTTCTCTGCCTCCTCCGATACAACTACTAAAGTTACTACCTCTTCCAAATAATCATATCATGACTACGTTCGCTAAAAATTACTGATTAAAATCGCATAGTCCAACCGCTGCATGATAAAACGTACATTGCTTTAACAGGCCTATTGTACACCGCTTGTTGAGAGAGGATTTAAACCAGCTGTCAAAATTCCAAGGCTTCGAAATGAAGTCATTACGTATTTTCAGGGTCTAAAACAATTTTAGGTTGATTTTAGTCATCATCGAGCCATTTCATTGCTGCATTTTGTTTGTCAGACTGACTGTAGCTTTATCATTTCGCAACACAAACGTGTCTTCACTATGCATTGTTGATGGGAAACGCCACAAATTGATTGAGTATGGAGAAGCGAGAGATCTGCTTCATAGCGCCTTCTCTGACCCTCAAGTAAATCAGAAAATCATCAAGGTGACACATTACCATACACAATGTCATGCTCATAGACCTGGACTGCCTGTGGTTGGATCCAACCCCAATTAGTAAGGATATCCAAGGCTGAAGCTGAATAAAAATGCGTATAAAATGACAGATTCGAGCTTCATCTTAGTCAACGAAACCTATACTTGCTTTTCTCTTCTTTTCTCGAAACAACACTTTATAAATCATGTCTTCCCAACCTATTCGAATTGGTATTATTGGTACTGGTATCTTTGCTCATCGCCACAACAGAGCCTATCAAGCTGTTGGCAACGAAAAGTTTCAGTTGGTTGCTTGCGCCAACAGATCCAAGGATAAGGCTGTAGCCTTTGCAAAAGAGGTAGATTGTCAGGCATAGTGTAATTGAGTGTATGAACTGATGTATTGGTTATGCAAAGGTTGGAATTGACGAGTCTGCTGTATATACCAATCCTATGGATCTTATCAATGATCCCAATGTTGACGCGGTTGATGTTCTTTTGCCTGTCCAGTTCAATAGAGAGGTAAGACTGGAATGTGTTTTTGTGTGTTTCGTGGTATTCACTTTTTGATGCTACTAGATTATTGAAGCTGCTGTAGCTGCCAACAAGCACATTATGTTTGAGAAGCCTATTGGTATGTTTCATCTACTCGGATCAACATGGCGCTCTGTTAACTTGAATGCACATAGCCGCTAATCTCAAGGATGCTCGCGAAATTGTATTATTATCACAAAAGGCCAAGACGGTTGTTGCAGTAAACGAGAACTGGTCATATCATCCTTTGGTGTGTGCTGTAGCCGAGTTTGTCTATCAAGGAGGCATCGGAGAGGTAAATTGGGTTGCTTACTAAATCATTTGGGTTGTAGACTAACGATCAGGGACCTAGATCATTAACTTTACCTATGACTCAGCTCGCCCTTATAGTCCCAACTCACCCTATCATGCTACCAAATGGCGTCAAAATCCTGAACATCCAGGGTAAGCTTCTTGGAGGTCAAGAAAGATGGGACAGATTCTGATAGATGTATAATGTAGTGGATATCTCAGTGATGGATGTGTGCATGACATGGCACATTTAGTGCCTATTCTCGGTAAGTTCGCATCTGTTGCTGCTTTTGCCACCAAGAGACATGCTATTCATGTGTGCGAGGATACTTTGGCCACCACCATCAAGCTTGAAAACGGCGGCGTGGGTGTTGCCAACTTTACCTTTGTAAGTGGATTTTGAATGCACGAAATGACGGGTCTCTGACCATGATCCCATAGAGCACTGCCGGTATCAAAAAGATGAGTCTTGTTGTGCATGGCACCAAGGGCACTATCGAACTTACTGATGACACTGATGTCAAGTTGTTCAATGAACTTGGTGAATCTGTCGACATTTCTCCCATCACATCCCTTAAGGCAAATGCTCCTGGTAATGGATTGGCTGATGTGGAAGGTGAACTCTCTGCATTCTATGATGCTGTGCGCTCTGGAAAGAAGTTGGGCGTGTCCACTGAAGAGGCTTTCCATCACCTTGCTCTTATTGTTGCAGCCCTGAAATCAGTCGAAACTGAACAGACTGTCACAATTGAGCAGGTGTAATCCAATCTACATGTAATTTTAATAAATCAACTATGCCTGCCTCTAAACGTTATGATTTAATGTAAATGGATTGTAATATTGCTAAGACGTGTATTGTCCAATGAGCACATTACGTGTGTAAATGTAGTCTGTTGAAGGAAAAGCAAACGAAAATGTACGCATACAGCCAGGCATTCAATCTAGTGCATGTATTTGATGTGGTATATTATGGTCTTGGAGAGTTGACTTAAGCATGGCCTCGTTGGTTGCCATCACCGCCTTGCAGCTCCTCCTCCTCTTCTTCTTCTTCGAGCTCTGGCCATGTATTCAAGTGCCTTAATTCTTCCTCTTGATCGTAATCGTTCTGCGGTAGATGTCTCCACTGTCTATTATCAGCCCCATCGCGAGTGAATCGTAGTAAACCTGTATTACGAAGCATACTTCTACCGACTAAGTCGTAAACATTAATAACTACGCAGTCTATCTGAATGTATTATCCTTTACCACAAGTTCCACAGCAAAAGCACCAGCACAATCCTGATAAAAATACCAACAAGATGGCTGAAAGCATGAGCCATGCTTGCATTACACTCAGTTCTGCCATATTCTTGAACCAAAAATGAAAAAATGCCTGGTTGCGTTGTCGTTTAGGGTGTGTGTGCTGTATTTCTGCCATATTACGGACTCAGTTAAATGGAAGTTTTTGGAGCCAGTTTGATCAGTCTGTTTGATCCTTTCGCTCCATGTAGCTCGACATCTTTTTTCTTTCCATACTATAAATTATGAAATGTAGATAGCATAGATGCTATAGCATATCTTGAATCTAATAAATGCGCTATGGTTGTGTGGTTATTTGGTAAATCCTCTAATTGACGATGGAGATACAGGGCATTGCTGCCTCCTCTCCATGTGAATATTTGCAACATCGATGCTAATATAGATAAGCTTCGGCACACGCATCTCACAGTGGTCATGAGAGATCAGTAGCATGAGCCCAGGAACGTAGCATGAAACAAGGATTGACAACAGACAACTGTTCTTTAAATAAGGACCCCTTCTTCCCTTTCAAATGTGAGCATTGGATATGCAATATTCGCAAGAATTACAGACATGTAGCACAATGTCAAGTATGGATAGAAACACATTGCTATAAATGGCTATGAACATTCCATATTAATACAAAACAAAGAAATTAGACAATAACATTTGCCCTGTTACATGTATAAAGTACATACATATATGATGTTCTTTTGCTATTGCTGCTGCTGATATTGCTATCAACACAATTTCTTTCTTTCTTTCTTTTCTCTACTTTTCTCTTTTTTTTCTGTACACTTACTTGAGCAGTTAGCTTTGGCATCGTCTCGCAAGAATAGCATCCATGGTACGTTGTATTTCTCCGAGATGGCCATGTTGAAAAGCATATATATATATATACGGCATTGAAATACGTTCCTCGCTCTTTCTTTCGCTCAAATAACTGATATTTTCTTAAAAAGTATAGATCAGACCGACTCTCGTCTATAGAAATAGCAGTTATGGGTAATAAAACAAACAAGCAAACCAGCTCTTACGGCTTTCTTAAACCATCCACTGGAGGCATTCATAAAAAGACGTATGGATCCTCTCGTGTTGGTAAGAAGGCGAAAGAAATGGTGAAAAAGAATTTGTCCCTTTTTCTAAAAGGCTTAAATTTGCAACAAATGATCAATTACAGCACAACTAATGATCCACCATCATCCTCTTCTTCTATGTTCAACAATAGTAATAGTAGCGCCAATGCCTTTACAAGCTTCAGCATCAAAAGCAATCAAAATAGGCTGGCAGCAAACGAAATCGATGATGAGCAAAGCCATCGAGCCGTATCGTCGTCAGTCAATCAAGAATTCGCTCTTCATGCTTCGCCATCGTGGCAGTACGTAGCCTCCACTGTAGGTGAACCACGGTTCCCTCATGTTGATGCGCTGCCCCGTACCTGGAAAGACAGTTTGACGGCGGATCAGAAAAACGCCTATTCCTTCACAGCAAAACAGATGAAATATCAGGAACTTGTCTATGAGATCATCTTGACAGAGCAATCCTATGTGGATGATTTGATCTTGGTGTACAAGGTATTTTCATGGATTGAACTTGGAGTAGAAAAACCTCCGATATTCATCCTGTCTATGTAGATCTTTATCAAGGAGGCACTGCAATGGGATGGGCTTCCTTCAGCAGTGAGGAACTTGTTCGAAAATATATTCCAGATCATTCGGTTGCACATGCAATTGTTACGAGTAAGTGGTCAGTAGGCGCGTTGATCGGCTCAGTGGACGCTAAGCGAATGGATAGGAATTGAGAGCAAAGCAACTATCACAGTATCCTGTGATATCATCGATTACTGATATATGCCGATCTTACGTAAGTTGTTCATCACAACGTCATACCATACATCTAATATTAGACGCTGTAGGTAAGCCGATTTGACATTTACTCGGCCTACTTTTCAAATTTCGAGAAAGCCAACAACATCATCGCAGAGAGCATCAGGGTGCAAGATGAGCTTGGATCATTCATATCAGTAAGTGTATATCCTCGAGTCAATACATGATAACCCTGATTGACTGAAAATTGTGTATAGCGCCGGTCGTTGTGGAAGGAATGTCGCAATTTACCTTTGACAGCCTACTTACTTACGCCAATACAAAGGGTCATGAAATACCCACTTTTCTTCAAATCACTAGCAGAATGTCTGCCAGACACAGATGGAGACATGGAAAATATCGAATGCTTTTTGATGGAAATGGATGTGGTGCTACGGTATTTCGAGAAACAAAAGAAAGAATCCGAGGATTTCATCAAACTGGAGGATTTAGCAAGCAGAATATCAGGATTGGAGGGATCCACTATCCGCATCGCTGAATATGGAAGAAGACTGATCTACGAGGGGTATTTGACAATTATTCCAGGCACACAGCAAAACCTAGCAACCCGCTTTGATAACTCTTCAAATGTCTCATTCTCAAGCGCTGTACACCCTCCGCCATTGAGCAGACGAAATAGCTCATTCTCACTGTCTTCTGCTAGAAAGCAAAAGAGAACATATGTGTTTTTGTTCAATGACATGATTGTGTGCACGAGGGTAAGTTCACGTTTATTCTTAAGTTGAATGCATACTAACAGAGTGCCTTAGGAAAGAAACAAGAGAAGGATGAGTGTAGTGGATAACAAAGCAATGGCACCTCCTCCAAGAAAAGGATCCTACTATGGCCCATCTGCTGACACACTATTCAAGATTACACATACACCAGGAAGGATTACACTTGTAGATAGAGCAGTTATGAGGCCTGCGGCAAACAGTGAAAGATTATCGAGGCGCGGATCAGCATTATTTCAATCACTGCGAAGGTATGGATCTCGTAGCCAAGAAGAAGGCGCTCCTCCTGTGCCTAGCATCAGCTCAGCATCAGCCAATGATCTATCGTTCAGCGTGCCGCATTATTGTGAGCAATCACCACCACCACCACCGTCACCACAACAGCAACCATCATCCATCACATATGAAAAGCATCCAACTCAGTTCATATGCTCTATTGCTACTAAGAATCTCACCAACATACAGTTTGAAGCAGAGACTCCTGAAGAAAAGGACATGTGGTGCAGCCATTTAGAGAGCGTGCTTGGTGAGCATGTCCAGCGCAACTGTCAGCAGCAGGAACAAAAGCAGCACTACATATCGAGTGACAAGGACACTAGCACAGGGATCGCATACCAAAGGGCTACTTTGAGCCCAACACAATCTAGCTATTCATTTGAAAGCAATTCGTCAAATGAATCGCTTGCATTCTCATCCGTGGCTTGGAATGGCTATTGTGACATTGAAAAGATGGATATAGATGACGAAGCACAACAACAGCGACAACAAAAGACGGCTCTGAGCCCTCCTTTGCTTCTAGACAAAACCGAGGACATCATGTCGTCTATCATGGATGAATTCGGTGATAGTATATGGTCCATCGGAGCACCTGCTGGATTGTCTCCATATCAGTTGCGAAAGACGTTCTCAAATATAGGCACATCGGACATATAGAATAAAAGACCCTTGCCCCACATTATCCGTAATTCTCCTGGATCATCAGTCCATGCCGCATATCACTACGCATAACATACATCACAGTCTATGTTTTGCTTGCTTCCATAGTTTCTGTATCGAGAAATGGCATGTTTATCTCGCTGCAGTCGTCATTTTCAAGTCAATGCGTTGAAAATGGAAAGACAGTTTGAATAATTCGAATTTGATGGCAATTGGTTATATTTCTAAGGCAGTTTTCATACGAGGCCCCTGTTTCAGTCTACAATTAGGTTGTGCGCTGTAAATATTCCCCGTACTCATTTAAAAAGCAGGAGATGTACAATGATAGTAATGAAAATTCGAATAATCCATCTTTGCAAGCTTCTTTGACATGTCAAAAGGAAATTCCAATCTTTCTTTCGCAAACAATCATTGATCCACGGAATCGTCACTATTTTCAAAAAATAGCATGGGGTCGCTTTGATACATAGTTTTGTCTGACTGACGATATACAAACAGGCTTTCATTTCACTGTCGAAATCACAACATGTCGCAATCTTGAGCAAAATAGGGCTCATGTAGCACAAGCATAACTTTCTGGTAGAATATTCGTGCTGAAAGTAAGCTTTCTGCTGACAAGATGTCTACATTGTCATTCGTCTTGGATCATTTCAAAATCAAGAAATGACCTGAAACCCAACTGATTTCATACTGTCCGTCTACACAATTTCTCAAAAACTTTTCCATCCAACTTTACAACGTGGGAAATTGTAACGGTACCTAATCAATTGTGAATTGCAGCATCATAATTCATCATTACTTTTGGTAAGTTTTGTTTAATCTACACGATTCGGGGCACCACCACCTCAACATTGTAGAAACTAATAGACTGCGGAGTTACACTACATTTGGATAGTTCAGCATAGCATATATGACAAGCTACGCCAAATGTAAAAGACTAGTATTCAGAAATCTTTAACCTACTGTCAAGCGTACCATGAAAGGACATGTCTGATATGCGTATTTCAGCAAGTACTCAATGAATACTTCATCTTGGGAAGAAGGCTCTATCTGCGTCATTGAACATTTTGATTTCGGAATGGTTTCCAGAACCAGATCAAGAACGACCGGCAGGTGCCAATGCTAAACAAAATTCAATCAAATAGCATCTAGCAAAGATTCCAAAGGTCTGCAATAACCTCAAATGAAGATCCATGAATAAACGTCTTGATTAGATGACGAGTTTTTGCATCATTATTAGGAAACATATACATTAGATGCGATACAATATGTGTTTCTTCAATCAAATCAAATAAGCTCTATGTGTCATTTGCACTTTCTATCCCAAATGCCAGAATAACATTTAGATAAATCCAAAAATAGAAAAACAGAAACAAAACTTAATCAGATAACTCAGTTTCATGTTTTTCCATTTTACGCATAATGATATGATTTACAGATGAAGAAGCTAAAATAAGATATATTTATTATTTTTAGACGGGATTAAATATAAACTGAACTGTACAAATCAAAGCAAATAGAAATTAGGGAAACAAGAAAGGAAAAAAAAAAGAAGATAATCTAGCGGATTGATGAGATATTATACATTGAGAGTGATGAGAACGTGTGAATGAAAGGGGTAATCACTGATCAGGGAAGCTCAAGTTCATGCCGTGTCCAGAAGACATGCGGTGCTTCTGGTAATTTTCAGATGTAGCTTGATCATCGCTGGAAGAAGATGGAGAGGATAAAAGTACACTAGATACAGGGCTGGGAGGAAGAGGGTGCATGGGAAACGCAAATTTTTGAGGATTGGAGTTATGATACATGGATGGCATCATCATTTGTGGTTGTTGAGGTTGCTGCGAAGATTGTTGTTGATCCCAATGATGTAGAGGTTCACAGGCAGAAGTAGATGGAGATGTGACAAATACACTAGGCTGATCATTATAATATACTATAATGAAAGTGTCAGTAAAGGTCGAAATACAACAGCTTATTTCTATAGAAACAATTACACTTTTTTTTTTTTAGTAATAAAACTCACATGGAGAGGTATTAGTGCTGGTAGGAAGACCTTGTCTTTCTGCTAGTCTTCTGATGATGATTTGTTGCTGTAGTTGGACCTTTTTCATCTCTTCGAAACCTTGCAGCAAGTTGGCAAAGTTTTCTTGGAGCACACGGAATTGTTGAAGTAAATCAGCTTGAGACAATTGAACCATAGCAAACGAAGCATGAATATCACCAGTTTCACGACGCAGGAGCTCAGAGTCCATGGCTTTACGTTTGATTTCTTCGAGAATGTCAGGGCAACCTCTTTGGAATTTAGGATGAGAGAACTCCCAGATTTCGTTTTCATTGTTGCCACGTTGACCACGAGGAGATTTGTTGATCTTATGGAAGCCATACATGTTCAGTTGACGTACAAAACTAGAGAAGTTGGAATGCTTGAAGTGTTCAGGAAGCACCTCTTGGGCGAAGCGAGTAGCATTGCAGACGAGGAATGAAGATCCACTAGGATTCCAAGAGATCAAATGTTGGTTGCGTCTATCGCTGACCATACTACAGAAAAAGATCAGTACTCGAGTCATTTTTTTTTCGTTCCTGAATTTTGATGATTGCGTACCTAAATAATTTGCTGATGAATGTGCTGACACCTCTCTTGGCAGAGCGTCTATTTCCATCATCAATCTCGTTGGGTTCCCAGTTGCCATCATTGGGAGGAGACAGTGGCGAGTTGGATGAGCCTGTAGAAGATAAGCTACTACGACTGTTGCGATGACTATATGGATTAAAGAGATTTGATTGAGGCACAGAAATGTGTAATGAGTTTAAAGAAGACATGTTGATTTGATTTAATTAAACTATGTTAATTAGAATTAAGCAAGGAAAATGAAAAAAGAAGAAACGCTAATACTCGGAACTGATGGAGCTCCTTTATATATGTTCTAAATCATATCAATTTAATCCTCATCTCCAAAGAAAACAGCTTGTTTCACATTTGCAGGGTTTGCTGCTCGGTTTGCTCAAGTGGGTTGACATTGGTCGAGTTTCTCGTCCGATGTTTTCCCGCTGACGTGATTCTAAACCTCTCCTCCTTTCTCCATATTTACACAATCAAACCTTCATATCGCCTTTTGGCGATCAAGCACTGGACCCATTCATTTAATCTTTTTTTTTTATGCCCAGTCTAACCATTCTAAATGCAATATTCTATCCAAATCTACTGAAATATACAGTCAATGTATTTGGTCAATAAAAGTCAACAGAGTGTGCCTGAAACAACCAGATAGTAGCGATAATAAAAAAATGAAAACATAAATTACCTATCTTTTCACCAAATAGTAATCAAAGAAAACAAATGCTTTCTGGCATTTTTTTTTTTTATGCAAATTTAACTTTAACCTGAATAAGAAAAATGAAACCTCTCAAGCAAACCGGCAGTTTCACAACTGGGTTACGAAAGACGAGTAGGTATTTAGCTTTTCATTGACGTAGTGAATCTCCATGGACCCTTTTTGTTGATGAAAATAAGGTACCAAAAACAAACTTTCTCGCTGCGCTTCTCCAAATGTCAGAATTACTGATGGAAAAGGAAGCATTCTTTTTATGTTTTGAGTGCAAAAAAGGTCGAATTGAACATTTGAATGAACCACCATCTCTTGCAAGTATAGATATGGCTGGTTTGGTATGATGGTTCTCGAAAATATCAAAAGAAAACGAAGATGCTTCTCATCCCCTGAATAGAAAACAGAAAATGATCAAATGTAGTAGAAAATTATGATATCGAACCATTTTGTAGGTATCCAATGGATAGAGTAAGATTCTTCCAAATGAGTTTCCCACAGTTTCTGGCTCGCCATGTTCCAAAACGGCTCAAGCGCATGCACACACGCACCTTCTCAAATTAATGAATCAAGCAATAAGGAATCAAGATGGTTGATAAACGGCAATATCATCCCCGATGCAAATATCAAAAAAAGAAGCATGAGCACATGTGCTAATGGAATTGCCTATATTAGATGTTGCTCCCGATAACATTTGTGAGAGAAATGATGGCCCTACTTATATAGATTCTGAACGTTGAAACAGATACTCGTTCAAAAGAACATAGATCTGTTCTCTTTTAGCATCCGATGTTATATAACAATGCTACCTAGTAAATGCACCTATGGACATCTTGTTCTTTTATTCTTGTTGCAGAATATTTTTGATTTCACACTGTTTCGGATGTGGGTGGTAGATGCTGACCTTCGATAATGACAATTTACAGCAACATATGGAGCTACTAAAAGCAAATGCTCTAGCAACTGAGCGAGATTTGTTTCGCATGTAAGCCCAGTGAAATGCTTGGATCAAATCTTCAAGGTGCAATTCAGTGCACCAACTTTATTTATGACTACAAGAAATACAGTGTTTTCTGGTCCTGATCATTGCTATCGCTGCCGCATGTGTGTAAACCTAATGCCTGAGACAATCCAAAATGTGCTTGCTGTGCCAACAGTACCGGCTTAAGCAGGGCTGCTTCTTCGCAGCTAAGGATGGGCCGCAATCGCATCTTCTTGCATCTGTTCTCATTCACTTTTGACTTTTTCTTGTAATTTGCAATTCTTTTCTTGGGTTGTTGCTGGAGCATCCGCTCAAATTGTTGGCGGCTTTCCATGTCAACGAGGCCTTCTATGATTTGCATAGCTAAACGATGGACTACTTCTGTTTGTGTTTCATTCAAATCTACTGAACTCAAATGATACAGTGTCAAAATGGCTAAAGCACGGTCTGATCTCAACTTCTCTGTATTTAAAAGCGGGTAATAGTAACAATGAGCAGTAGCATCGTCAGTTTCGGTCTCTTGATTCAACCTTTCTTTGAGCTTGTTGTATGATGCTGTTTGTCCATCTTTGCTTATATTTCCCCAATGCGTGATGTCCTGGAAAAAAAAACAGAAATTTAAAGCCTGTGTGAGGGGCATGCCATTTGATGTGAATGTACCTGGATCACCTTAATCAAGCAAGACAGGTAGTACAAATCCTGCTTATCGTTGTGGAAGCTGTTCTCCTTTGCTTCGGTATTTCTAGCCTTAGGTTTCAAAAGTTGTACTGTACATAAAACCACAAAATAAGACCGAATTCCTGTAAGCAAACGGCGCGGACTTGTTCAGCATGTGAGATGTAACAATAGCAATATGGGTACTAACCTTGATGTCTTGATAATTGCGATATAATAGGCAGTATTGACTTGTTTGTGTAATGCCGTTCATCTTGCAAGACTGGGTAAAAATCAAATGAGTCGTAAAGCTTGTAGAGAAAGTGGTTCAAGAGCTTAGGGTATTCGCTTGATACACTTAACGAGGATTTTGGATGTAAAGCATGCTCTAATCCGTTTCGCAAGATCTCGTTTTCTGCAGGATGCTTCCACAGCAAGAGCAAGTTGTATTCCCATTGAATTTGGCGCTGAAACAGAGCATCTGTCAATTCAGTTGATAGCTTGCATGCCTTGAAGAAACATTGCCATCCCTCTGTTGATTGCTGGACCCTGGTTTCTGTACTGTCTGCCTCAAATACCTGATTCAATGAGCCTGTGATGCGAAAAAATGGAGCAGGAACTCGCAATGATCTGTGTTTGATGAAGGGATACCATAATAATTGCGTTTCCCAACCTGCATACAGCATCAGTAAATGATATACCCCATACTATAATGAATGCTACTTTACGAAAAGCAGTTAGCGATGTCTCAAAATATTGCTGTAACGTTGTAAACCGAGATGGCGCTGCTGTTAACCCATAGATGCTGATCAGGGTAAATTTATCAATGTAATTGAGTGCTGCTTCCCAATCTTGAAGTCGTACACCATGTTTCTCATCTTGCTCTCGTAGGTCCATAATAAACGTTAAGCAATGTACCAAGGTTTCAGATGAACAATAAAGAACAGCTGGAAGGTCCGACTCGTTCAAAGGAGTGTGCATGGTCCTGACATGATGCCAGCCTGAATCGTTGTCGTGTTTATACTGGCAAAACGAGTCGAGCAAGTACAAGTTGAACTGAATCAATTGGATGTCAATAGTAGTGGGTTGTTGAGTAAATTGAACCATAGGTGGTAGTACAAAGTCATTCAAGATGTCTGGTATATCTAGGAGCATTCTTGTTGGTTGATCTGGCACTAAACAATTTGGAGTCAAGATGATGGGATGGTTCTCTGTGAATTGCTATAAACCATGAAGCATGTCAGTACATACGCGTATTAATGGTTGTGATGTACTTGCGTTGGCTAAGCAGCCTTTTATAAAGTGTGCGATATTCTGTTGGTTTGACAGTAAATCTTTGGATTCAAGCAGCATTGACACTGTGTCTCGAACCACTGTTAGCAAGAGGCTGGAACATGAGCTTGACTTCCTAAATGTACACAGATTTCCGAGCATATTCAAAATGGGAATGATGGCTCTGAACTGGTTCTTGTTTCGTACGCAAGCTAGAACTAGCTCCTGAACAACCTGGTACGGCCAAATAATCGATAACTGCACTGTCATTTAGTTTCTGCAGGAACGTCTCATTGCACCAATTGTACCTTGATCAGTTTCATAATGACATCGTCTGGAGCATCTTGCCCGTAAAGCCCACTATTATCATCGTCATCTATGGTGATTTGATTACAAACCTTAATCAAATCACTCTTGAATGGAATATTCCATAGATCAATTGACCTGAAAGTGGGTAAATGAATGTCGTCGGCTTCTCGTCTTCTTGAAGTAATAATGACGGATATTAACAATGTATATTTTAATTTCGAGTTGTCATGGTTACCTCTGCTTTAAGACGTCGTCTCTAAAATGAATTAGATCATCTTTGTCATGGACATGGGCAATACAAGTCTCCAGTAAGTGGCAAAGGTTCTACAGAGAAGTTTACTAACACCCACCACTAAATACTACTCCTCCTTAGTCAACTCACGTTAATCAACAACTTTGTATCTCGGCTATTGGACCTTTGATAATGTTGCACATGTTTCAGAATGTGGCCATATAGCACCATCATCAAATCCTCCTTCGCTATAAGGCTTGCAAATATATCCGCGCACCTGGTATCTACAACATCTCTGTAAAAGATAAATCTTTAGCCGTAATTACTATAATCGGGATTGTCTTTCAAGCCATACCTAATCCACAGATCCATAAATTGAACAACAACCTTCAGCGTTGATTTCCAAAAACTAGCTCGGTTTCGAATGCTAAAAATACACCATAGTTGGCATTTGGCGACATTATTCTTGACGATCTTTTCGCGGACCTTCTCCTCCAGTCGGTCAAAGCCGCTCTTTTCGTCTGCATCGCATAAAGACTGGGTGCCTGTCACTAGACATTTGCTCTGCAAATGCCAGCAAATCACTAGGAAAGCTTGTTCGTGGGTAGTTGTGTTGGCATCTTGCTGCTTTATGAGTTTGTTCCAATCGTATTTTAGATCATGCTGTTGGACTCTAAACAAATCAAACAGTGTCAGATCTAGGAGATGTTTTTCAATCTTGTTTTTACCTGGCATTTTGACATGTTTGTATAGGTATAGTGATAGTTTTAGGTTCAGGTATCTCTCGCATGTAGGAGGGAAGAGAAGTACCCTTGAGTTGAAAGATGGATCTGATAAGTGAATAGCAGGTTTCAGAGATAGTGACATTAGGGCTCTTCTTCATTATGAGGTATGGAATGGAGCTTGCAAACCAGCTCAATCGATGTGTACTGTTTTGGATAATGCGTGCTTGGTTTGGTTCAATCTTTGCGAGTTGAGTGTTTTCCAACACATAATCATATAGCGTTTGTAAAATGGCCGGCAAATAATGAGTCGCTATGGTTGTAAAATTAGAGTATGTCGCTCAAGTAGTTCTGCTTTCTGTACCTAGACCAGCTTTGTCGTCGACTTTGATCTGATCTACTATGAATTGCTGCAATATCTGATCAGTAATACCATCAAAATGGGCGTTTCTCTGAATCAGTTTGAACAGAATTGGGTGAAAATGTCTCAATGGTTTGTTTGTGGCATCAGCGGTTCTCATAATGAATTGCAGAGCATCCTAAGCAATGGTAAATCATCCAAAGATATAACCATCTGCAAATGCGTACCTGAGCTGTCATTTTCCATAATTTTTGGGTGGTATATTTGTGTAGATCAAAGTGTTCGCAGATGTGATACAGTATATAATGATCTATGGCATTTGGAAAGTTTACCATGTTAAAATCCACAGCATTGTCTACATTAGGTCTAGGTTAGCAAGCGTCACTTCAGTTGTGGTCCTTTCACTGGTATTACCCTGACTGTGGATGGTGTTGTAGAATACTATATTGTGCAAGGCCATCAATGCTTCTGGAGAGTGATTGTAATATGATAATGTCGAGCCAAGGCTTTTAAGCAGTTGGTCCAGCTGTCTAATGTCAATGGCAGGATGTAAAACATGCCTGTACCTCATATAGCATTTTATATTTACCTGTCAGAGGCTTGTAGCTTTTCACGCTGAAGACTCGAGTTGTATTTCTTCTCGTACTCCAGCCAACCATTTAGATCGGTCTGCAATTTTATTAGTATGTCTTGGTGCTGTTAATACTGTTAACCAACACAAGTTTACCCTGAATTCAGCTTCGATATTCATAATGAAGACGAGAAAGAAAAAGATAATGCGTTTGTGATAAAAGCCTTCCGTCCAATTCAAAAGTATTTCCATTGAATGTATCATCCCTGTGACAGCTAAACATAGCATCAGTACCTTTGTATCAAGTACTTGCGACCTTCCTGGACGATCAACAACGCTACAAAGGATCTGTAGAGTCAGCAAAAGTCCAGCTCTTGAAGCAATCACCCTAAAGCGTGTCGATTAGCCTTGAAAATTCTTTTACAAGTTTGGCCTTGTCTACCCAATGTCCCGTCTGACTGAAGCTTCGGACACTTGATGCAACAGTACATTACCGCATTGAGTGCCGCGAGATGTGCAGATACTGTTCTTGTTCTGCTTTTGTTTACAAGGAAAATGCATGAATTAGACAATCAACATCTCTAGTCGATTGGCATTGTCAATGATGTAGGACAACTCCGATTTAGGTCATGATAAAATCTTTCATAGCGCTGGCCGTTGTGCTAAAAAAAACTTCCTTCTTTTCATTACAACACAAGTTCGAAAATGGATGACACTAGCGAGGCAAAAGTGATGGATTTTGTCACTAGAAACATTGATAACATACCGTTCAAAACCTTGCGCCATGGCGAAGTGGAGCTACCACAATCAGAGCAACTGATACAAATCCAAGCTACTTTACACAAAGATCCAGCCTTGTTTCTAAGCAAATGGGGTCGATATCTCTCACAAAACTCATTGAGGTTGTTTCAAAGGATTCAAGGTAACTATGAGGTGGATTTCTACCTGGACTCTTTGCTATATCAACAAGAAGGAGAGTCTTCATCGCCACAACAACAACAACAACAACAACAAAGTGCATCACAGCCGCATAAAAAGTCTGCAATGCAGCTGTTGGCTCAGAACAGACGTTACAAATACCTTCAGCAGGAATTGAGGGGCTCAGATTACTATTCAGATGAATCCATCCAGCTGAGAGAACCAGTTTTATACAACCAGTTCATCGGGCAGTATATACCAGCAAGAGAGAGGGCAAAGCCCTTTGACAACGACATGACATTGGTGAACCGTATATTCAGCAACATGGACAGGAAATTTGTGGATGATCATTTATATGAACAAAAGATTAAGGATGAAGAGCAATTTGAAGAAGAAGAAGAAGAAGAAGAAGAAGAAGAAGATGATGATGATGATGAAGATGAAGAAGATGATGAAGAGGATGAAATGGAAAAATCAACACCAGTAGTGCTTACAAAACAGAAAGGCAAGGAAGATGTTGAAATGAAGGAGGCTACTCTATCAGATAAAGATGAGGAAGAGGATGAAGACAAACATACAGAAGCAGATGTAGAGTACAGAGACGAGCAAAGAGCTGAACTCATTCGCCTACTAGAAGAAAAGTTCTTGGCCGGTAAAGATGTAAGTGCTCATTTCAAAAGACCTTGATGATTTCAACTGAATATACAATGCGCAATAGGAATTCGACTATGATCAGGTGGATTACAATGAGGTATTTACAGTGCGAAATCATTCTTATGATAGTGTATTCACAAAGCTTTTATCAGGACTATGACGATTTTCAACAATTGGAGCAGGACATCCATGATCGCTACTTTGATGAAGATGAATAAAAGCAATGGAATACCCCTTCAAAGTTGTAACTTGTAGGTGCAACAAATCAGTTACTGTATTAAAGTGGTATCGTACAGACGGCGCTGGTCTGTTAGATTACTCTAAACACTGTATCCGAGAACTATTCGAGATGCTTGTAGACGCCATGAGCGGATGCACCAGGTAATGGATGTAGAATCAGTGACTAAGAAGCTCACTGTCCTTTCATCTAAATCACCATTGTCCCTACGTATTTCTTAATTTGATGTCATACTATCCTTTTTTTCATCAGATCTGTGATACATTAGACTCTCAATGTTCCATTGCGCATGACCCCCATTTAATCAGCATCCTAGTCATCATTGTCCATCAACAGAAAGGCATTTGGGACAGCCAGCAGCAGCGCCGCCCGCTGCTAAAATTGATTCAAACTCAGTTTATTTTTTTTTCTGTTCAAGATTGGACAGATTTCGTCTTTTTTCGACTTCTTTAATTTATTTTGTGATATTCGACTATACAAGCTGTCATGATCACCCTACGCTTCCTAATACATTTTCGAAGTACTTTTCAAGGCGCTTCCAATGATGCTAATTGTAATAAGTGTTTTGAATGAACTTATTGAGCAATTTAGTAAAATTTGAAACGAGGTTTTTAGCGAAAATAACCATATTTTGCATATGAAAATCTCATAAAAGTGGTTTCAGAGGTTGCTTTGGATCGCGAGCAACATTTTGATTTAATATATACCATAGTAAACTCTTCATTTTCAAGGTGAAAAACGCGATCGTTTGATTTTCGATGAAAAGCATGAGGTACCCCTCATGGTTTTTGGTTGATTTTCGACGATTCCAATAAAGTTGAGTAAAAGTGTTAGGCAGTTACTATTGAATGAGAGAAATCGTTTGGTGCTATTCTGGCTATCTAAAATGGCTTCTAACACGAGAAATTGCGGCCCAAATACACCCAATTTTCGCTGTATTTTGCAGAATCTTGAATAGTTTGAGCTGATGCAAGTGTGTTGTCTTTTGTTGTTCCTGTTTATGCTGATATGGAGCATTGTAAAGGAGTCAGATCCGTGATTTGGGACGGCTCTCGCCAAATAATGACATTTCAGTAGATAGTAGTAAGATCACGCCTTCACTGAGGCCAATTTGATTGTGCCAATCCACTAAATGTTGAGAACACGATGATATAAAGGTTATCAGATCAGTGTTCATGAGGAAACTTGCTGTTTACTGTGACTTTTCGAAGGCTTAGTACCGCACAAGTATTGTTGCACCATTTCTATTAAACTCTGAACATCCAAGATCAATAGAGAAGGAGTATTAATACGACCATTGCGAGTTATTTTATACTTCTTTTTCTCTTCTCCTTCACCCGCCTCTATATACTCTTCTGTCTCTATCGTTCATTTCACTATTGTCATATAGAGAGAAGGATTATGCCAGCATTTCCCATCTTGTCGGTTTCTAGGAAGCCAGTTTTACTGATCATCTTTTTCACAGTATTTGTGTTTCTTTACAACATTGCCAGCCATCCCAAAGTTTCGAAAACTATGCAAGCAAATGCCTACTACACAAATTACGACGAGAGAGCTTGTCTCCCACAACAATTGTTGATGAAAAAACCACCTACTAAACGAGCAAAGGCTGCCATGGTAATTCTTGTTAGAAATAAGTGAGTAAAAGCGAAGGTTTGATATTGTAACTGCTAATTTCCGAAAAACAATGCTATCTAGAGAACAAGAGGCTATTGCAGAGACGATTATCAACTTTCAAGACAAATTCAACAAGAATTTTGACTACCCATATGTGTTTTTGAACGAAGAGCCTTTCACAGAAGAATTCAAGGGAGCAATGAAAAGAGCAGCACCCGATGCGACAATGAAGTTTGGTTTGGTGCCTGAGAGTCAATGGAGTTATCCTAGTTGGGTTGATCAAGAAAAGGCATCGCAATCTAGAAAGAGTATGGATGATAGTGGTGTCTTGTTTGGAGGGCTGGAAAGTTATCATCATATGTGTAGATATCAGTCTGGCTTCTTTTTTGATCATCCCTTATTAGACGAGTAAGTTCAATACAAATGAAATGAATGCCAAGGAAAACTTATGCTGTATGGTTAGATACGAATGGTACTGGCGTGTAGAGCCAGGCGTACGATTCTTTTGCGATATCACTTACGATCCTTTCCTCTACATGGAGAAGTACAACAAGAAATACGGATTTGTTGTTACTTTACTCGAATTGCGAGACACTATCCCCACCTTGTGGAAGACGGTCGAGGCATATGCTAAATCAAGACGTATCGACATTTCAGAAAACAGCAAGCTCTTGTTCCCTTATTTCAGAGACAAAAACTCGGGCGACTTCAACCTGTGCCACTTTTGGTCCAATTTCGAAATTGCTTCATTGAATTTATGGAGAACTCCACAATATCGCGATTTCTTCAACTATTTGGATCAAACAGGCAACTTTTTTTACGAGAGATGGGGAGATGCTCCAGGTTTGTTTTGCTTCTTCTGTGGGCTTGTTTCGATATTCTAATCAATGTGTATCTTTCGGCACATGTAGTTCACTCTTTAGCGGCAGGTTTGTTCTTGCAGACAGATGAAGTGCATTATTTTGAGGATATTGGATATCAGCATGATCTCTACAGACATTGTCCCTCAAAGGAGAGCGGATTGGGCTGTAGATGTGATTGTCCAGTGGGAACCAACGACAAGAGCATTGACCATGACAAAAATTATGACACTTGCCTTCCTGTCTGGCTGAAGCACGTCAAAGAGGATGAAAAAAAGAGAACAAATTGGAATGTTTGGTCATAGTGTATACCTCTTTTTTTTTTCGAATAAATATGTATATTTCATTTACGATTGTATAAATGTAGAAAAACGGAAAAAATACAAGAAAATTCAAGTAAAAGTACAATAAATGCAACAAAAGAAAAATGGCATAACGAATCCAGCTCGTATCTGTGTTTAAGTGTATGAGGTTAATCCAAAGAGAGGGTTCTTTCAGCCAAATGCCGAGGCATTGAAGATCTTCGGTGATTGGAACGCACTAGTGATGGTTGATTGACAATTAGCATGATGCAAGCTACAATACAGAAGAGCCAGAACTTACAATGTGGTTTAAGACCTTTGCCAAAATTTGAACAACAGATGAACGCATTGATAATCGTTAAAATGACCAACGCTAGAGAAACGCTTGCTACAATACAGCGCTTTGTTAATAAAAGGGACAAGCAGCTCAAACAGGGCACTTGCTTACCAAAAAAAGTCAAAAACTCCTTGACAAATCGATATTTTTCACTTTGTGATGGATCGTAGATACGATAAATCTTGAATATAAAATAGGCTACGCCAGCAAACATGCCAATAAAGAACAATCCCATCAACCACCTGGATTCATGTTGAATCTATTTACCTCGTTAATGCGATGCATGCTATAAATGACCGCCCATACTTACTGAATAGACAGCCAATATTAGAAATAGACATGTCAAGGGTATAGCGACGATGGTCAGGGCAAACTCATAGTCTCCGGATCTCAGCACCAACACAAGGTATTGAATTGAATAGCCCAAAAAGAAGAAGAAATCAATTTTGAGTATAGTCAAAATGATCTGATACCATCGATACATGTTTCTAATCTCTGGATCAGCACCAATTTTTTTGTAGATCTTCCAACCAAATTCCTGATACAATCTTGCGCCAATGTAAAAGTAAATCAACTGGCAGACACCGGTGATAACAGCAATGACAATCAAGAGCCTGTTGATTAAAAAGGTCAACGATGTCGCTAACTGCTCCAAATCAGAATCTTGAGAGTCTAATGCATCTGCAATTTGTTTGAATTGAAATACTGCGTATACAAAGCAGCAAATGTTGAACAATAGAAACGCAATCACTTGGATGGTGTTTTGAGCACGGACCTGTTTCTGCGTATTAGCATATATTGTCATATCTGGTCAGTCGTACCCACTTACAGCATCCCAGGCAATCAATACTTGAAATATCTGCGAAAAGATGAAAATCATCAAATAGACAGGAATGCCCAACCCAAGGTTATTCGCTGAAAACCTACAATATCATCAAAGGAGCAAGTGTGAGTTCAGGGGAATCATGAGCAGGGAGCATCAAGAAAGGGAGGGGGTGGGGGGGGGGGTGAGGAGAGAACAAGAGAAAAGGAGGAGAGGCTTCAATGAATGTATGCTTTGTTGTCATATCAAGCAAAAAAAAAAAAAAAAAAAAAAAAAAAAAAAAAAAAAAAAAAAAAAAAAAAAAAAGACATTTATGATATAGACATTGCTCCTTACTCTGTATGATAAAACTTTGCAAAGATGACTGCCTCTAACGCAATGACTACAATCGCTTCGAATATCGATAACACAACCAAAAACACTGAATTGGGTGAGTTGGACCAGAAATTGAATCTGGTTTCTGCTCTTTCATCTCGAGTAGATTCGAATATCTTGTGTGATGATTGCTGTTCAAAGCTGGGATCTACAAAACTCTCGGCTGACATTTTGTTGTCTTCAATGATGGTTGTCATAAAAGATATCGATGATGTTGATGTAAATGACGATGATGAGGATGCCTATCTAACTTTAGATAATGATGATGTTGTTGTTGGGGAATATAGCGTTAGATAGAGATGCAAATGAGTCAACGTTTCAATAGTCTTTTTGAGCTTGCCCTAACAATGAAAAAGAAATATATACAGGAAGAGAAAGAAAAAGAGAGAAGCGAAACAAGAGAAACCAACATCTCAAAAAGGGACAACCGGTTGTCGGGTCACCTTGTTAAACAATTAGAAATGAGTGTATGGTTTTCTCCATTTGGGGGCGCATTCGCCAAGACTATTAAGCTTGATGATTGGCCTGTACGTCATTTAGCTCTATTCTCGTATTGTGTTAATTACTCATAATCTGACTTCCGGCAAGTCATCGCGGATACATGGTTTTTCCAAAGCGAGGTTGATGGTACAGGAGAGATTGTGCCGCGCGCAAGAAAGGAGAAGAAGAGCCGCAATGGGGGATTCAAAAGAGATGAATTCCAAACTGATGCAGGTAGGCTTCCACTGTCAATTATGTCAATATTTCTTGTTCACATGTTGGATACTACTCATCCGAAATGAATGACCATCAACAAAAGTATATGAGCAGTTCTTTCTGTTCAGTCTACAGAGCAATCGATTTAGGCTACTTATTCATATTTTGTAACAATGAGATGCTTGGGCACAAAGCGCGGATCCTAGCCACTAGGAACCAGATTTTGGCAGCTGGATGCTAGCAACCAATTGTTGCAATGGACTTGACTTAAGCCACATGCTATATCAATTTGATACTGATGCTCAAAAGACCTGATTGCTTTTTGATTGCTTTGAATGGTCAAGCCTAATCATGGCGCCAAAGGACATGTCATCTTTCTAGCTATTTTTCGCTTGTGTGAGATAAATTTACCTCGCAAGAAGAAAAGAGTGTGAAACGTAGTATAAACTACCGCTTTAGCATGCTTGTAGGGTTACCTTTTCGTTTCGAGAAGGATTTAAACTATATTCTATAGTATTCGATGCAGAACAAACATGCGTACAGGCCAATATATACTTTGTTCCTGCCTGCCATGACATTGTATAGATTCTGTCTAATTTCACAATGTTGAAATAGCAATGTATCGTATCCTGCGTGCATACAAATATTTGCATTTCTTTAGAAGAATACTGCAAATGGAAAAAGCGAAGTTCCAGTTACACGACTACCCATAAACTTTTGTTGTAGTGGTACACAAAACTGGTACAAATATTCTATTCTTACAACAAGCGCTTGATAGCCCTCTGTAGAATTTCATGCAAAGCAATCTAGTATATTTTTCTGTTAAGCTTTGCTGATGGCTCTCGTTTTTGATGCTACTAGCACACAGTAAGGCAGCAGGGTGGGTCTTATCTGTGGCTTCCAGGCCTGCAAATACAAAAGCTGTGTGCCAGGAGAACACGAGTCGCAAGTTTCAACATTGATAATCCCTCGTGCAAAGAGATTTGAGAACAAAACAACAGGCTGGAAGATCACCCATGACTTTAGTCTCATACGTAATACGTAGATGACTTATACATTTGTAACTTGTAGAAATGATACATTTGAGGCATCCTCTACTCGATTTGTACAACGAGCAGCCTCTCTTGAAGGTTTGCTGAAGCATTGTAAAACAACATAAGCCATCATTCAAGAAAGAACAAGAGCGTTAAAGTTTTATGGAATGTAATTACATGTTCGATTGCATGTTTATTCATGTTTGTCAATATTTAGACAACAATGCCATTTTTTCATATAAAGCGGCATTGCAGATACAGATGCTCGATTTCGCGTCGATTTGACAATTGTAGCATCCATCTTTGATAGCTTCTGGTATTGGTTTTCCTGGGTAACCAGTGCGAGGGGGAAGGGGGAGGGGGAAGGGGAGGGGGACACTTGGAATCCAAATGTGATCCATACTTTAGCATACACGCTTGACTGATTGTTCTCTCATTCTGGTGATCTTATTGTGTTGGTATACTTGGCTTATTGAAATATGCATCCTTCTGGCGGCTAGCTAGAATAGTCATGACTGGAGTTTTTTTTTTTTGATGGATAAAGTTGTCGGCGAATGCATGACAACAGGATCACCAGCGTTGTTGTTGATAGCCATCTTGACGTTCACATACACGAAAGTATTTGCTTTGGGCTATGTGTCCACAATTACAGTTTTTTTTTTTTTTTTTTTTTTTTTCTCTCAGATACCTGCATTGTACCACTTGAATTTCTTATTGACGACAGGTTTGTTTGCAAGTTACACATTGGATACTGTATTTATGACAATAGAGTATGAAACAGTACACGATGGCTTGTAGATAATGCAGCTATTGATACAAAGTTCATAGCTCTCGGTTAAAGATCCTTTTATAGCATTTTCCTTGAACCGTTTGTTATAAGCCGAACAATGCACATGTAACATGATACGCTGTCCTCTTGAATTCGAAATGTCTCCAAGAAAAAACGAAAGCTCCAGGTCTCTTGATCTACTTTTATGATGTTGTGTGTCTTTATTATGATTGTTTGTGTGCCAACGTACACACACAGCATATGAAATGTTGTATAATAATATTTTTTTTTTTTTAGCTATTTCTAAAGGTCTTTGTATGACAAACGGAAACCGGAATGAAAATAATCAACTGAGCATGTGGTCTGTTCAGTTTTTTCTTCATACAATCAGTTTAGATCCTTTCTCTCTCAATCTCTTTTTCTTTCTTTTCCTTCTTTTTCATCATCACTGAAATCGCAACAATAGCAAGACTCTAAACTCCTTCTTTTTTTTTTACTTGTATTTATCAGATCAAACAAATCACAGCTACATCATAAAAAAAAAAAAAAAGCCCAAAAGAAGTCATGTCTACAATTGCAGTAGCCGCCATGGTATCACCTAAATCTCAACATACATCAACGAAGCCGTGCACATCTGCAAGTTGCTGTTCCCCATCTCGTCTTTGGAAAACGGTTCAATTACTCGTCAACACGGATCAGCGAGATGAATTTCGCAAATTATTCAACGATCAGGAGAAATTGCCTCATCTCGTCCGTGTTATTCTGACCTGTCGTCTCTCCAACAACCCACTTGTCTATAAAAACACAATGAAGATTGATGCCCGTTTGAACGATACATTTGGCAAAATATCAGCCACAGACCTGAACGCGCTTGAACTCGCTTTGCTTCAAAAGCATGATCATATTGCTTTTAGCATGCTGCAGGTATTGAAACAGAATGCCACCCCTGCTCAATGTAAGCAGTTTATCAACCATCAATGGGGCAAGCAAAAGAACACGGCTTTGCATTTGGCTGCCTTCTGGGGCATGTCCAAGATTGTGCGACTGATGTTGGAGATGGGAGCAGACCCTACCACGCCCAACAATCGTCACCTCAGACCCATCGATTGTACCACCCACCCAGACCTTATTCATCAATTGCAACAATCAAATACTGTGCAGCCAGAGCAGCAGCAGCGTGCATCACCTTCACCACCTTCATCGCTTTTGCTTAAAAAAGCTGAAAGACTGCTGCGTCCTCTTCAAACCATCCCATCTCCAGCCTTGGCGGCAACGGATCAGTACATTGTTCAAGAGGACATGAGAGCCCCCATCATGTCTCCCTTGTCCTTCTCATCGTCATCTTCGTCCTCCTCTTCCTTGTCGTCGCTTGATCATCACTGCTGGACTCCACCCACATCGCCTATTCCACATGTCGAATCACCCATTCTCTCCCTCCTGGAAGAAAAGGGTGTAGCGCAACAACAACAGCAACGTGATGCATTGTTGATGGAGAGGCCAGGCTGTTTCCCTCGTCAGACTGTGGTTGGTGTCACTAGCATCGATGTTGATGATAAACAAAGACAGCTTGTTGACGACAACGACAACGATCATCAGCGCAACAGGAGCAACGACGACCTGGTCAAAACTGTGTTACGGAAACAAAAGAAAGTTCAGTTCAACTCTGAGACTATTTTGATGGATGCTTGTATTCGTGGTGATCAACAAGAAATGAGCGAGTACCTCGACCTGGATTTCGGCGCCATTCGAGATGCACAAAACAGGTCCTTGTTACATGTTGCCCTGATGCACGGACATGAGCATTTGGTGCAGTTTTTGTTTGATAAGGTGGATATCAATTACAGCGACAATGATGGTAAGTTGCCCTATAAGAGATGTGTTTGTATCCATACTCAATCTTGTCTCTCCAGGCTGGACATGTCTTCACTATGCTGCTGCACTTGGATTGTGGCCATCTCTCCAGTTTATCGCGTCACTTTCTCATTGTAATATAAATGCACGGACCAACCATGGATTGAAGATCGAGGATTGTCCAGAGTCTGAGTTTGGCAGAAGAAAGTGCAGAATATGGCTTGAACGAGTTGCTCGTAGCAAGCAAGGACCCTCATCTACAGCAAAGAAGCAACTCCTGCTCAAGAAGCCATCTTTGCTCAATCTGTCCACCTAACCAAATCTGTGTATTGTAACTCCCCTTTCCATTTCCTTTTGTACTATTCCTTTATTTATATCCTATTTGTGTACACACATACATACAACACATACCCTTCTTTTTTTGTATATTACATCTTGTCCCCATCCTTTCATTGCAACCCCACACACACACACACACACACACACACACACACACACACAACCCCTAAAACTACAAAAGTTCTCTTGTATTATGATATTTATTCTTTATCTATGTATATCTTGTTTCCTTGTATTCTGTACTATTACTCCAAAATCACACACACACACACACATACCAAATCACACACCCAAAAATTAGTCTAATATGGCTCTGTCCATCTCGTTATCCGTTTTCTTAAAAAAATGAATAAAACTATATATGAAATTACATCTTATACAGCTGAATCTAACGTGGAAGTCTACTGCAAATCTGATCATCACAGCCATACAAAGATCAGAACGCTCTGACATGGTGATCAGATCAATTTCGTTACTAGATCACTGTTCCTGAATAGTTACAAAATTACCCCCCTTGTTTCATTTAAATAGGGAATGCTCCACGAAATATAAAAAGTGCGTCAGGCCTCTTGAAGTGTTTGCTTATTATTGTCATTATTACATACAACAATAAACCCTGTGATCTCTAAATAAATTTGTACGTGAAAATGATGCTGAACAATCAAACAGCACATACACAAACAAGTGCGAAACAGAAGCGAAATGCCTTTTTGCTTACATACAAACTGTCCGTGCATTCGCTTTTGCTCGTGATGCTTCATTTGCAGGGTTTTTAATATAAAGCACATCTCTCCTTAGTTCTATATAGATGGTCATCGTTGTACATTGCCAGCCATTGGAACAAAAGAGAGAAATAGGAGTAATGTCTGGAATTTCCAAGGTATTATTAGTGATGCCAATCAAGGGACTATATGACCCTGTTGACACAAAATGTTTCAAGTGGTTTGTTTATTACGTGAAAAAGTGTGTGTACTCTCTGCTGTAATCATGAACTTGCATTTCATGGAGCTTGAAGTAATTTAACTCTCGCTTGATTTGTGTAGCGGTGGCAGCCGTGAGTCTGTTACAGACAGCATCAGGGTCCGAGCTGCGATCGTAATCGCCTTTTGCGTACGTTTCTTGAACATCCAGGTACATGTTAAAGCGTACTCTGCCGTTTTCTACTGATAGCAATGTCTGTTGTAGTGGTTGTGATCTTCGCTTGTCGTTGTTCATGACGGAAAATACAGAATAACGCTTCTTTGTCTGTGGATTGCTGCTGTAGACCGAAAATCGAGCGATAGACCATCTCTTCTTTCGCAGCTGATGCTGTTGACGCGGGTCAGTAGGAAGCAAAGCACTGGCTGGCCTCGTAAGTGATGGGCGCATTGTTTTTGTTGGTTTTGTAGTTGTCGCAGCATTTGTTTGTTTCTTTAGAATGCCCTTAATAGGTGTAGTAGGGACAGATATTGGCAATGTGCCCAAAGATGGAGTTCGGCTGAAGCGGTTCTTTATTCTGGATACGGTGGAATGTCTTTGTGGTGGCTTCTGGGTGGTTGCGAATGGAGGGCTGCTGCTGCTACTGTTACTATACTGAAACCCATACGAATATGGTTTGGAGGAAGAAGCATTTGACTTGTTGGAATGTGTCGAAGTTTGATCTGGTGGTCGCAATGTACTAGAAGAACAAATAGACGAATCAATGGACGGATTCCATCTAGTATCAACGCTACTGTTGCATGTTGTAGCGGTAGGAAATACAGGCAAGGACGATTGCATTAGTCCTTGCTGCTGCTGCTGTTGTGGATAATGATAATGGCTAGTAGGCGAGGCAATGCAAAATGCTTGCTTTACCTTGGACTTGATGACAGAAAATCTTGATTTCTGTTTAGGCAATGGAGGTGGATCCATGTATTCAGGACAGCTGGGCTCAAGAAAGGATTGCATAATGGTAGTTTCATAAGCATTGAAATCATCCAGAGTGTAATTATTATCATTACAACTTGAGTCAAAAGAATGCTCAATTTCATCTCTCCAGTCCTGTCTTTTTTCCGTTGCATGTCGAGATAAGTCCTTGGCAGTAGCTGTTATTGTGGAGTCACTGGCTGTGTCATCTGGATAGTAGTAGTCGGCATGAGGCTATGATGGTGTTTAGCCTCATTAGCATCATTGAGGGAATATTCATACATATACTTACATGGTCTAATGTCACGGCCTTCATGCCAACTACGATAGCATCTGTTGTAGACGAGGCTGTCATTGTAAGAGTCATATGTTTCAATTGTAGAATGTAAATTGAGAAGAAAAAGAGTGTATAAAACGAGTGTATAAAATTGACAATAAAGAGTCGCTTATAATATAGAGTTAAAATGAATGTAAGGGGGTTTGAGGTGTGTGGTTTAGAGTAGCTAAAGAAGAAGAAGAAGAAGAAGAAAGGTACACATACCAGGTATATGGCTTTATTCTTACAATAATCCCCTTTCTTGCATTTATTTCCTCCTGAATTCAACCCATTTTGTAAAAATTTCAAAGAATGAACTGCAATGAATGATGATGCCGGATGGCAGGGATATTTCTCTCTTTTTCAATGCCACATCAAGGGGATATTTTGCTCATTCTGCATTTTGCATACAAATGTCAAATGGTGTTGATCTGGCGTATCTGGTAGCACAGGACTTATTCTCCCTCTCTCTCTCCCTCCCTCTCTCTCTCTCTCTCTCTCTCTCTCTCTCTGGCAAGTGGGATGTCGCAGCATTTAAAGCACCGGTGGCGAACAATTACCACCCAAGACACGGCTTTAAAGATTTTCTCTTCATTTCTCTCCAGTTTCATTATTTTAAAGCAATAATCACCATGTCGAAACCATCACCCAAAGGTAGTAATGAAATGGGAGGAAGAGAAAAAAAAAGCTCAATCAAGTCCATTTAATAGCAGGATTAAAGAAACGTAAGATGGCATCTTCGCCTATCGACCCTGCACAGAGAAGATTGGATCGTTTTCTGTCGACTTCATCGCCTTCACAATCGCCCTCACCCTCACCCTCCAGCAATCTTATCAAGAATGAGCCCATGCAGGTAGATTCAGTAGCGTCTACCACCAAAAAGAACCCCATGCTGGGTACTTATCGCCAACAAATCATACTACCCAAAATCACCATTGCTGATGCTGATCGTACTGTATCAGGATTGAAACACTTTGTATGCAATTAGCACTGATACACCTTGTTTTTTTTAGCTGCACGACAAGCTGAATTAACAGATGACAACTTTGAAAACTGCTGGACGATGCCCAAGAAGCTGATTTTGAGCATATTCTCGACAGACAACTTCAACCGAGTCAATTATATTACAGCGTCTCAAGTAAGTTTTCTACCCTTGATCCGACATCTCTGTTAAACATTGTGGGGAGCTAGATATCTCTGGGATTGTGTCGATTCGGCAAATCAGAACAAGTGTACAGCTCACTCAAGCTGGAGATTGAGAAACATGTGCAAGAAATCAAGAAATCGCTCATGTCAAAACCACTCAACAAAGACCTTCTGAGCAGACTCAATGCACAGTGGGTCACATTCTGCCAGCAACTCACCATCATTCGCACTGTGTTCATGGAACTGGACAGATACTACATTCTACCCAACACCAAATACAAGTCTATCAGCCAACTAGGAAAGGACCTGTTTAGTGAATTGATCATGGAAAAGGACAACTTTCTCCATGTCGTGATAGCTGAAGTCATTCAACAGATCAAGATCGAGCGGGATGGATCCAAGATCAATGTTCCATTGATACGAGATATCTTGCGCATGTTGACAGACCAATCCTACTATAAGAGCGAATTCGAACCTCGATTTTTGGAGAGCACCAATTTATATTACAAGGAAGAGGCCAATCGTCGCATTAGTTATGGTACCATACCAGAGTACATTTATCATGCTGCTGGCCGTCGCACACAGGAGTCTGAAGAAAGAGTCAAAAACTACCTCAGCCCAGACACAAAGCAAGCATTGATCTCTGCGGTGGTGGATAGATTGGTGTATGCAAAGACGGAAATCATCATTCAAGAGGGGTTTGAAGCCATGATGGACACAGACATGTACGAGCCGCTCAAGATACTCTACGAACTGCTGTTTCAAAGCCCCAAAATGAACCTATTACGAAATGCATTCGGTGCCTACGTTAAGGTATGTTGCTATTGCCGTATCAAGTGCAAACAACGCTAATTCGCATATCCAGGAGGAAGGCATGAAGATCATCAAAGACCCCAAGAGCGATCCCACCATGATCACATCACTACTGCTGTTCAAGAGAAAACTCGACAAGATTCTCAAATCATGCTTCAATGACGATGTCACATTTGTGAATGCACTGAAGGAGAGTTTTGAGCAGTTTATCAATACACGGGGCAACAAACCAGCAGAGTTACTCGCCAAACATCTGGATTCCAAGCTCAAGATCCCAGTCAAGGTAAGTATCCCTCAAGAGCATGCGTCATGGATTGACTCATTGGCCATACAGAAACAACGCTTTCAAGAGATTGTGGATACAGTCAGCTTGGATTCGATCCTCATCCTGTTCCGTTACATCCAGACCAAAGATGCATTTGAAGCCTACTTTAAGCGGTTCTTGGCCAAGCGATTATTGATGGACCGAAGCGCGTCCAGTGAATTTGAGAACCATGTGCTTGTGAACCTCAAAGCAGAGTGCGGTCCAGAATTCACCAAGAACTTGGAAAGCATGTTTACAGATGTACAGATATCCACTGATTTGACAATCGAATTCAAGGAATATAAAAAGGAAAAATCGCGTTTGCCCATGTCTATCAAGGTGATTGCACAGGCGACATGGCCAAGTTACAGTTTGCTCGACATCAAGCTACCCGCCAATGTAAGTTTGCGTTTGCGAGAGGATTGCGAGATTCCACCCTGACTTGATTATAGATGATGGCCAGCCAAAAGCTGTTTGAGAACTTTTACGTTAGCAAATTCAACGGGAGAAAGCTCGTGTGGCAAAACCGACTCTCCTCCTGCTCGATTGTAGCAAACTATCCCAAGGGCCGCAAAGAGATTATTGCCAGTTTAGCTCAAGCCGTGATTCTGTTTATCTTCAACGATGCCAGCAAAAAGACCCTGTCGTTCTCCAGAATACAAACCATCACAGCATTGGCCAAGAACGATTTGATCGGTTTACTGACTTCGCTGTGCACTGGACCGTACAAGCTGATCATCAACATCACCTCAACCTCAGACAAAGACACTGTAGCACCCACTGATTCATTTGCCTACAACTTTGATTTTGAATCTGCTAATCAAAAAGTACGAATTCCTCCTGCTGCCTCAATTGAACCTACCAAAGATGAAGAAAAGGATGTGGAAAAGAAGGTGCACATTAGTAGACAACATCAATTAGAAGCTGCTATTGTGCGTATCATGAAGGCTAAAAAGACATCAACGCATAGTGCGCTGGTGGATGAGCTTTTCAAAGAGTTAAAATACCCTGTGCAAGTGAGTATCCTGTGTGTTTGTGTGTGTGTGTGTGTGTGTGTGTAATGGGTAAATCAGAGTCTAATGATGGATTGCTTTCTAGGCGGATGACATCAAGAAGCGAATCGAGTCCTTGATTGACAGAGATTATATTATTCGCGATACAGAAGATCCTTCTTCCTATGTATATCAAAGTTAAACAATAGGTGTCTCAATGAAATAAAGTGTGAAATGAGGTATTGCAATGCATGAAACTTTCTTTCATTGAGTGTAACTACTGCCCTCCGGTCACAGAGTTTGAGATGCAATTAAGATTCATGTAGTTCCAAATTCAGGACACACAAGATAGACTCTCTCTCTTTCTCTTTCTCTTTCTCTTTCTCTTTCTCTCTCGTTATTTATATATATTCATCTCACCCATATAAATGAGTGGACAGAAATTAACAGTTACATGTAAATAGATCACATATCTGCGATAGACACACATGCTAATACTAAATAGACTGTGATGAATACGAGGTGTGGCCACTGATTGCCGATGATTTATCTGCTCGACTTCCTCTTCGAAATCTAAAATGGCAGCCATCGAGCCAACGCGCAGAGTGTCTCATTCCCATCCTCGAAGTAGATCTAAAGCGCTTTACCATTGACCACACGCCTCAACTCTTGTCAACAACACAAACCACCTACCTAAACTTGTATTTTGTGTCGTGCGAGGTAATATAAAAAGCCGTTCCTTTCATTGCGATACACAAATGGAGAGACTCAAGCTATGCTTAGGATAACGAGATCTACAAGACAAAAGTGCGCAGAAACATTCGCAACTGGGTAGAGACCATTCAGTCGAAAAAGAACCAGGAATGGATGATTGTCTATGTGGCTGATACAGAGGCCAAACGAACCAACAACTATCTCGGCCTCAAATCCTCTGTCTATGACAAGATCCGCACGGATTTCAATCCACCCAAGCAAGATCGGTACTCATTCTATCGCCATCACAACCAGATATATATGCTTAACACATTGCCATTAGGTGTGCTTATATACGCAAGAAGGACCCTGACGGTCCTGAATCTGAACTGTGGACAGCATTCATGGAAAAGATGAAGGAATGCATTCTCTCCAGCTTTGACTTGCAAGTGCTTCAGATACAAGAGGACACTAGACGATTGGACATGCAGAGGCATATGCCTGGATGGAACTACTGCACGTTTTTCATCCTGAAAGAGGGTCTAGCACAAGCATTTGAAATCATGACGCTGTATGAAGATGCACTGATCCAATATGATGAGCTTGAGGCATCCTTCTTCCAAGTGCTACGAGGTATTAACATGGAATGACATGCGACACAGACAAGAACTTACTAACGCTAATACAGATAAAGCGTTGGCTTGGTTTGGCCATTTTGGAGGCACAGATGCGGGCGATGACAGCGGCAACATCCTGGATTTCAAGCGCAAAAACTACCGCGATCTGATTACCAAGAACATCATCTCTGTGTTTGATTTCCGAAGCTATCTGTTTGCTCGACAGTGTCGTATGCTGCTCAAACTGCAGCGAGTGATTGAAGTTACTGCTCGTGCTCAACTGTTTATCACCAACTTCATCCCATCGATTCGAGAGAATGAAGAGCATTTGCCCGAGAATTTCGTTGAATCCTGGGTGTTTTCTGCTTGCATGAATGTCGTGAATGAATGCGAGCCCCTGTCCTCTCAACTGATTGTCAATAATACAGACTTGGTGGTGCCTTACAATGCAGTTAAAGCAGATTTGTTGCTGACAGCCAGGCGCCAGTTGGACAAGATTGGCGTCAAATGCGGACACTTACCCATGACTGATCCCTTCTCCATCTACATCAGCCACACAGAAGCTGTTAAAGCACCCAGCTCTGATGAACCCAAAAAGTCCATTACCAATGTCAAGCTATTGGAGGCAATTGAATCCATAGAGGCGTTTGACAAGACGTATATGGGGCTGAGCACACGAGCTATCAAAAGCTACGATGCCAGTTTCAGATCAAGAGCTGCCCTGAACGTCCATGGTGATATTGCTGCTCTGAAATAGTAAGTCTGCGCCACATGATACTAGGCAGCATACAATTGACACTCTTTGCTAGTATCCGAGAGAAATACGAGGAAGCTGTCAGAATCTACGAATCCATGATTTGGAGATACGGCGAGCATGAATGGAGCTCCATTGAGAACAGTCTACTGATCAAATGTGCCGACTCACAACAACGACTCGGCAAAGCAGATCAGTACGTGGAATCCTTACTGGCTCTACTCAAGAATGCCAAATATCTCAAGGATAAGGAAGCCACACATTACACCGATGAATTGATCACCAATGTCGCCAAGCTGGATAAGGAAATCAAACGGCCCTTTCAGCCCATTTTCTCTGTTGCTGTCATCTCCATCATTGACGATGGCACTTCTGTCAAAAGCACCAGTGTAGAAGTGTGTCTTGACAACCATCTGCCTAAAAAGATCCACTACGATGCCATCTCTTTAAGACTGGTAGGCAGTGATCCTGAGCAGATTTGGTTTACTATTGCGGATCAAGACCTGGAGCCTGGTAAGAATACGTTTTTACTGACCAGTGAAACATCGACGTCCGGTAACTATGTCGTGGAGACGTGTGAAATGAAGATTGGAAAGCTTGTCTTTAGCCATAATTTCCTGCGTCCTGGACAAAAGAAGCGAGTGGTTCGTTTGAATCATGATATAAACCAATTGTATGCCACAGTGTCCCAGCCTCACGAGAGTAAGTTGTTTTTATGATGGATTGCTGTATATCACTAACACGGCGTATCTAGTTTGCTTGGGCGAAAGACAGAGGTTGTCGGTCAAGATTGAGAGTCGCTCATGCGCTACAACGTCTGGTATTCTGCTGCTAGAGTCACAAACAGAAGGGATGGAAATTGTGCAAGTATCCAAAGTACCCGCTCTTGTCAAGACTGCGGAAGCGCCAGAAGAGAAAGAAACTGAACTGAAGATGCTGGCGACTGGCGAAATTATACTGCCTGACTTGAAGCCTGATGAATCCATCGAGCTGTTTGTTGTCTATGAAGGTTCCTACACAGAGTTTGATTACAGAGTGAGTCCTTTCAATTATATCGAGTGATACGCAAATACTGACTTGAAATAGATCAAGACAACTATCACATACAAAATGAATGACACACATCACAAGTTTGTCTCATCGGACTACGTTAAAGTAACTGTGCCTTTGCTTGTAACAGAATCAACTATCTTTAGGGAGACTTGGTAAGGAAGCGTCTTTTTGCTTGAATAATCCAGGGTAAAGAAACTAACAGTGTATATAACAGTGTCTTTTTAAAAGTGGAACTCTCTTGCAATGGTGATTTACCTGTTCGCATTCTCGGCTCATTCGCTAAACCATCTACTTATTACCTCGTTGAAAGTCAATCTGAAATGAAGCAGTGCAATCTGACATTGTTCCCTCGGCAAACAGTGTCTTTTATATACAAGTTGATCAAGAGAGAGGATAAAGTGGACACAGACGATACCCAAGTCAATTCAAAAATACACTTTAACGTAAAATATCGATCCCTGAAAGATGGTAAATGCTGTGGGCTATCTCTTCATTAAGGCTATTGCTTGACTAACCTTTTATTAAATGCAGAGGTGGAAAGTAGTCTTCAAATCATGCTAAAGAACAAGCTAAAGGAACTTAATTTGGACCAACATTTGCCTTACGTATTTCAAAAAGCCAAGGAGGCCTTCTTGGGTTCTGTTGATTACTCGAGTTATGGATTGACAGATGTAGTCCATCTCGATGATTTTGACGTAGAGCTCTGTGAATCCTTCTTGCTGCACAGAGACCTCAAAACAAAGGTCCAGTTATTGGATGCCATTGAAGAGTTCTTTGAGGTAATAGGAGTCAGTAGCATGATTGGCAATAGGAACTTACACATTGGCCGTAGAAAAATGAAGCCATCACTGTGCAACAAATTCAGCAGATCTGGCCTAATCCTCAGTTACATTCTATCGCTTTCCCTTTGGAGGTTCCCACTACAAAGGTTTGCATTAGAGCCATATGAAAAGTAGCATCATTTGCTTATCGCACTGTTTCATAGATCACCCACACTGCAGAACTGATCCTCTCTGTGGAAAAAGACTTGCTAGTATCCGAAGCATGTCCTTGCACATTACGCATCAAACAGCTCACGTACTGGCATCCTGCTGACAAGATCAGCGGCAACAATGACGATTTCTTTTATGACATTGATGTTGATTATGACAACTGGCTACTATCAGGCAAGCGTCGTCTTCGATTCACCTCAGAGCCGGATACAGTGATGGATTTTCCCATCAGTCTAGTGCCTTTGAAAACTGGCAACCTACTACTGCCATCGGTGCGTGTCTCTGCTGTGACGCCGGACATCTTTGCTTCTACAGTCTATGTAAACAGTGCTCAGCAAATCTTGGTGAAGCCTAAATCCAAGACAGCGACGTTCTTTGTAGAGCAACAACAGCGATTCATCGCACCCGCCGTTAATCCACCTTCTTTATACGCTCCATTACCCATTGCAGATGACAATCGCAGTAGTATTCGTAGCAGTGGTATGGAAACACCAACATTCTAAATAAACTGACTGTTGTCTGCTTTGAAATGCGTTTTAGTCAGGCTGTGTCCTGATTAATGCAACATTGGTCATCACTGATCCAGGTATCAAACATATCAGAATGACTTCTGAGCCTTGTGGCAAATGTCGCCCATCATTGGGTTTATAGATCAGTTCAATGAGCCATCTTGAAGCCGATCATATCTCTTACCAAACCTGAAGCCACCTTTGTTTCCATTTTTCTTGAAACTAACTTGATCATGGCAAATAGAAATTTGTCTCACAAGCAATCCAAATCTAGTTGTCTCTCACCAATTGACTTGATTCGGAAGCCCAAAATTGTGACAAGCGGCTGCCAAAATGGCAATTGTTGCTTAAATAGCATCAATCAATCAACACTTCTTTTGTTACTACCTTTTGTTTCCTTCCTTTACAAACTAAACATCTCAACATGTGTGGAATTTCAGCACTTATCTTAGCCGATGCAAACGGGGCTGCTTGTCCTGATTTGTTTGAAAGTTTAGGTCTTCTTCAACATCGAGGCCAAGTAAGTACAAAGCTTTTCACTGTGGTCATCAGCAGTCAGTAACATCTTGCAAAACAGGATGCCGCTGGTATCGTTACTTGTGCTGCAAAGGGCCGTTTCTACCAGTGTAAAGGAAACGGTATGGTCAGAGACGTCTTTAACGAGAAGCAGCTCTCCAACTTGGTGGGTAGTCTGGGTGTGGGTCATGGTAAGTTGGGTGAGATCTTGTGTAGAATGATGTGTACTGAAACCATTCCCTCTTTCTGAGCGCAGTTCGTTACCCCACAGCCGGTTCATCTTCCATGTCTGAAGCTCAACCTTTCTATGTCAATTCACCTTATGGTATCACATTTGCTCATGTAAATGGTAACATTGCAAATCCACATGTAGCCATTCTAAACTCTTTGCTAGAACGGCAACTTGACCAATGCTCGTGAGCTGAGAAACTTCATGGACAAAGTGGCTCACAGACACATCAACACGGATTCCGATTCCGAGTTATTATTGAACATCTTGGCTGACAATTTGCAAAAGACTGGAAAATTCAGGTAAAGATATCAGTCAGATTGGGGGTCACACCCAATGTGGGTCATACATCTCATCTAATTTTTTTCTTAATCCACACTCATACACCCCCAACATCTATCTGCTTGCCATCGCACAGAGTCAACGAGGAAGATATTTTCACCGCAATCAAGGATTTGTATGGTCAGTGTAAGGGTGCTTATGCCTGTGTTGCTATGATTGCTGGCTTTGGTATCATTGGTTTCCGCGATCCTCATGGCATCAGACCTTTGATCTTGGGCCGTCGTCAAACAGAAGCCGGGTTCGATTACATGCTGGCTTCCGAGAGTGTTGTTCTTGAAGCCTTGGGCTTCACTGATTTCGAAGACGTAAAGGCTGGTGAGGCCGTCATTATTACTCGTGAGCAAGTCTCTCGTCGTCGCTTAGTCGTTGAAGAGAACCTTGGTCCCTGTATCTTTGAATATGTCTACTTTGCTCGTCAAGATAGTATCATTGACGGTATCTCTGTTTACAAGGCTCGTCTCGCTATGGGTGAAGCTTTGGCAGATCAAGTGGTCAAGGTGTTGGGTGATAATATGGATATTGACGTTGTCATTCCTGTAAGTGTCAAATGTCCTGTGATTGTGTCACCTAGATTTCCCATCTCATTTTATTTTTTGATCCCTAGGTCCCTGATACTAGCCGTGCTGCTGCTCTTCAATGTTCTCGTAAATTAAACATTGTTTATCGTGAAGGCTTCAATAAGAACAGATATGTTGGAAGAACCTTCATCATGCCAGGTCAACAAGTGAGACGCAAGAATGTCAGAAGAAAGTTGAATGCTATGGCTCTGGAATTCCACGGAAAGAATGTCTTGTTGGTTGATGGTAAGTCGCAAATGAACGGATATAACATGTCACATGCCAACTCATGGCCCACTATTAGACTCCATCGTCAGAGGTACCACTTCCAAAGAAATCATCATGATGGCCCGTGAAGCCGGTGCCAAGAAAGTATACTTTGCATCTTGTGCTCCCCCTATTCGATACCCCAATGTCTATGGCATTGACATGCCTACTCGTAGTGAACTTGTTGCTTACAACCGTAACGAGGATGAAATTGCAGAAGAAATCGGTGCCGATAAGGTCATCTATGAGGATTTGCACGATCTCACTGAATCCGTTCGTCGTTTCAACCCTTCCATTGAAACTTTTGATACATCTGTCTTTGATGGCAAATACGTTACTGGCGATGTGGATGAATCTTATTTCAGTTATATCGAAGGTGAACGTAACGATGATGATAAGACTATCAATACAGATAACGAGAGTATTGGTTTGCATAACAGCTTTAGAAAGTAGATTGTGTGTCTACTACATCATGTATAGTATACAATTTGTAATTCATTTAATAAACATATTCCTTTTTCAATGTAATTGGCAGTCTACAGCATCGAGAATGGATATTATTATTCAACTAGCACGTTCGTGTAGGTTACTATGAAAATCAAGAGTAGATTCGAAAATTTTACAGGTGTTTCGGGTTTTGAATTCTGAAGTGTCAAAAGAGGTTCCCATTTCTTCGATCTGGCCATGTTTAGACTTTTTTTTGATTATTAAAGAATTTTTTCGACCCAAAGTAGATATTCAGTTCGCAAGTCGTTCTAACCGATTGTATGTAATTTGATGCGCTCTATAAGCTGGTATTTTTTTTTGTCCTTTTCACCATTTATTGTCGAGATAAATTCGATAAATAGGTATTTCAGTTTCTTGAACAAAAGTCAAAAATTTCAATCTTGAAACTTCGAAAAAACGTTTCCATCGTGTAAAGCGAAGAATTTGACTCCAACTTTACTAATGCATACCATAGTAAAAAGTCTCATTTATGGGTTCAAAAATTGAAATTTGTCAAAATGAAGGATTCGGCCTTGCTATGGTAAGGCAAAAAAAAAAGTCAAAAATTTTCGATCATAAAAAAAATTGAGATAGCACTTCAGAACGAATCTATTAATCGAGAGCAATTGTTTGGTGCGCTTTAGACCGTCTGAATTTGCTTAAAACTGCTTAAATTCGTTGATCAAAATGCTAAATTTTTGGGCAATGTTTCCTACATTTTGAGCAAATCCCCAATATACATTGCCATTTTTCTCGGCTTGATCTTATCAAAGCCGTCGAATCTATAGATGAGCTACACTAAAATTGTTTTATATGTAGATGAAAGCTCACAAATCATGCAAAACGCGACACAAATGTAGGATATCCAGTCACCGTGAATGCTTAACTTTTTGACATTGGAACAAAAGCCATCCATTTTTTTTTTCTTCCTATCGTATATTCATTGAATTTCATATCATGCCAGTTGAAAAGAAGAGACCTAGGGGTTTGAAGGGTAGTGCTGTTGCCAAGGCCAACAAAAAGACCAAGACTGAGGAGCAACCTACCAGCACCACAGAGTTACCCGAGAATGCTCAAACTGTCGTGATTGATAAGGTAGTTGAAGAAGGTGATGAGGTTGGTGAAGCTGCTGCTCTCTTTGAAAGCGCCCTCGAAAAGCTTGGTAAGTGCAATTGCGAATGCTTGATTTCATCTATATTTATACGCACACGTATTAGAAACCGATCCTTCTGCTGCTTTACCTTTACTTCGCGGTACTATCCATGAGTCAGATCGTATTCTGCGCAATCACGACAGCAAGGAACCTTTGCCTGCTCTCTTTTACTACACCTACGGCGCTGCTCTTTATGAATTGGGCCGTTTGACCGAAGACGAGGAATTTGAACCCTATTTAGATGCTGCTGAGGAGAGATTGAATGAAGGTTTAGCTCTCAAAGACACCGAGTTGCATAACAAGATTCATTTGGCTCTTGCCAAGATTTGGCTCGCTAAGGCTGCTAGTGCTGTATCTGAAGGCGATCAAAGCATTCCTGAGTTGTCTCTCAAGGCATTAAAGAGTTTAGATGAAGCTCTGGAATCTTCTGAAATCCCCTCTAAAACCGTCGTTGAATTGGCAGATATCGTTCAAAACCATGGTGATTTGTACGAGAGCCTTGAGTCTCGCTCCAAATTCAGAATCTGGGCTGAAGATGCATTGGAGAAGGTGTTGAAAGGTAAGGTACAGCAACTCAGGTATATACAGACGTGCTCATTCCCCATATTAGACGAACCAGCCAACGCTGAAGCTTTGTCTGGACTTGGCTATTGTAAATTATCCTTTGCCAACTACTTGTTGGATAACATTGATGAAGCAAACGAGCAAGAGGAAAAGACTGAACTAACAGAGGATGAGGAGAAGGCCTACAAGGCTATCCTTGAGAGCAAAAAATATTTTGAAAAGGCCAAGGAGGAGCTCGTCAAAGTGAATAAGGTTTCACCCCAGATTCTATCTGATTTGGCCGAGGCATACTTGAATGAAGCCAATTTGGTCTTGAAGGAAGAGGAACAATCAGCCATTTACAAGAAGGCTGTTGAGAACATCAAGGAAGCCAATGCTTTGATTGAAGAAAAGAAGCTTGAGTTCATCTTGCCCGAAGCATTAACCTCTTTCTTGGAGGAATTTGAAGCCGAAGAGTAAACAAATCATATACAATTTGACATTTAATAAACCATTTCATTTAGCATTTCGTTTTTTTCATTGTGAAAGTATAAAAGAAATGAATATTTTAATGACTTATATGGGTTATTGAAAAATAAATTAGTGTATACATATAAAAATATGATAGTTATGAGTTTAAGAAAAGTAAATAAGTATTAGGAAGTAAAGCTATAGGAGATCATTACACAGTGGCAGCAGCACCAGCGGCGACAGAGGCAAACATGTTGGGAGCATATGCAGCAAATGAGAAGAGCAAACCAGCAATAAGGCCAGCAATTGGCAGAGTAAGCACCCATGAGAAGAAACACCAGGACAACATCTTCCAGTTGACAGCACTCAATTTTCCATTACAAAGACCAATAGCAGCTGTAGCACCAGTGATACAGTGAGTGGTGGAGACGGGAAGACCGAGCTTGGAACAGGTTAAAACTGTCAAAGCAGCAGCCAATTCAGCAGAGAAACCACGAGTAGGAGTGAGCAAAGTGATGTTGTTACCCAATACACGCATAATGTTATAGCCATAGGTGGCAAGACCGAGATCAATGGCAACACCACCATAAGCAAGAATCCAGACGGGGACAGGCACCTTACCAGTAACATCGACCTTGGCGGTTTGCCAGATATCATAGACAGCAGACAAGGGACCAACAGCATTGGAGACATCGTTAGAGCCGTGAGCAAAAGAGGCCATACAGGCAGTGATGACTTGAAGGAAAGAGAACATGTATTCGACATCATTGTCGTAAATTTCAGCGGCATCATGCACAGATTTGACATTGGCATTGCTCAAGTTACGCACATCCTTTCTGACACCGTGGAGAGCAACATTGAGAATCTTATCCTTCCATGAGAGGTTTTGAGGGGCAGTCTGAGTATCTTCGGCAACTTGTTGAGCTTCTTCAAAGCGAGTAACTTCTTGGCCATCCTTGGTTTCTTGGGCGTATTCCTTGTTGTCTGAAGAACTGCTGGATGCAATCGTTTCAGCGTGGACAGCTTCCTTTGTCTCAGGCAACGTCTTGATCACAGGACGAGGACTCAAGAAAGGAATCACAAAGATATGGTACCAGCGAAGCTCTTCACGACCGACAACTCTTCTCTTGAGCCAGGGACAGAAAAAGAAGATGGCAAACAGGGCAAAGAAGGCACCAATACCGAGTGCGATAGCAACAATGATACCAACGTGCATCTTGGCTGCTTGAGTACCTGGAGCACCCTTGTAAATGAGGTAGAATGCTTCAATAGTGGTTGTAAAGAAAAAGTAAGCAGGAATAAGACGGACAGCCCACTTGATGCTGTCCTTTTGGCGAAGAATACCGTATTTTGTAATACTGTAAATGATGGCAGCAACAATACCTGCAAATACAGGGGACAAGAACCAGGATGTAATGATTTGGCCCAAGCCAGACCATCCCCACGTAATAGAGGAGCCACCAAATGCGGCGATACCAACACCACAAACGGCACCGACGATAGAATGAGTGGTGGACACTGGCCAGCCGTTGCGTGTAGCGAAGAGCACCCACATGGATGAACCGATAATAGCACATGTCATGCCGAGCATAAGCAATTCAGGAGTAGTTTCGAATCTTTTGACTGAAAGAATGCCACCTTTGATAGTATCTGCTGTATGAGAACCGAGTAAAAGAGCACCCAAGAATTCTGTAAAACAAGCAATGATACATGCTTGAGCAAGGGATAATGATCCAGAAGCGACAGAAGTAGCGAATGAATTGGCGACATCATTTGCGCCAATGCCATAAGCATCTGCAAAAGCAAACACCATGGTGACGCCGAATAACCATGTATAATCCAAAGGATTCATCATTTTGTATAATAAAAGATGTTGATGAATTGGATTCTGCTTTGATTCAGTCTTCGGAGGGTATTTATACTATATGCTAAGTTACTTGATTTGATGCAAATCACTATTTTGTACCACTCGAGTCTATTGTCCAGTAAAAAATTATACAGTTTCCACGCCTAGTGAAAAGGTTGATATTTGGAAATACAAAGATCTATGTGAATACAGAAGAATACATGTACATGTCGACCCTTCCATTGTATTCCCATCAAACACCTTTATTTTGCTTTTTTCGATCTGGATACTTTTGGTACACTATCCATTGCTTCATGCATGATCTGGTACGAGTAGATGGTTCGTCCAGCTTCTTTGAGTTTTCATCAGTTCCTTTCAGCCTTGTTCCGATTCCAAGCGATTTTTGCTTATATTATATGGACTCACTATCTTATAGTTCGAGTATATATGCCATTTGTTGGTAACATATTGCATTTACTGATCTGCCCTCATTAAAATAATCTCTACAATGTAATTGTAACTTGATGCAATTCCGGCACATCACAGTTGTTTGGAGCGACTGGATCAAATTTAACAATCAAACAGATTTGGACCGATGTTACACTACTAAACAGACATCTGGTTGAAAAATCCCTAAACAGTAAAATCACAGTAAATATAAGACGACCTCACTTTGTCCTACGCAACTGCTTAATGATCCAGTAAATTGGCAGTATTTAGGCATATGTTCTCGATTTTGCTACTTCCTATTTTTATAGAGAGTAAAATAGGTATCAGTAAGTTTTCCTGGAAAAAAATCAACACATGATAGAGAAGCCTGAGTTTAGCATAAGCTAAACTGTTGCAATTCAGTCGTGTACGGCCACAGGATGGGCTACTACCCTTGTCTAAGTCTAGTAGCTTGCTCGTACACAAGCCTCCATTCAAGTCAAAGGTTGATTGATTTCATACTAGCTAAAACGCAAATATTGTGAGATTAAGAAATACATCAAGCAACATTAGAAATCTTTTACACACATAACCAAAGCAGCGACCGAATTTTGCATTTGGTTTGGTCTAAAATACGATGATAACCTCTTCAGCCTGAAAATTTGCACAGAATCTTTTTTTTAAAATATAAGTTTTATTCCTGGCATTGTGGTCTTGACTTGTTCATTACACAACAGCAAGAAGCATTCCAACTGTACATGTATGCTTCAAGAGACGAGCTGGATGTTGAGCGACTGATAGTAGCTCAGCAATCAGGAAAAAGTTTCTTGCGATGAAACTGCCGCACAGACACGTTGCAAGGGATATTCTCCTCCCAAAGTTAAATAAAGTGAGCCCATCACAAGAGAACCAATGAGAACATTCTGTAATGCAAATGTCAAGCCATTTCAACACCCTACTGGTTTCTTCATTTGGTCTCTAAGACCACCTTTTCTTTTTTCCTCTTTTCTTCTTTTTTTCTTGTTAAAGCAACAACAATTCAATATAAATCTAATGGCGCATAGAGAAGGTATTACAACAAGCTCGTCAGACTGGACTATGGTCCCCGCATCCAGCTTGATTCAGAACCAAAAAGTCATTGAAATGTAAGGATATTGTGTGATGTCTTTTCACAAAACATGTATTGATAGTGGTATAGTGACGGGAATTTATCAGTCGAAGAAGCATGCCAAGTTCTTGTCGAGAACAACATTTCATCTGCTCCCGTGTTTGAAGGTAAAGAGAAGGGACATTACATTGGCATGTTTGATTACGGCGATGTGATTGCGTATATCTTGCTGGTGCTGCATCGCAAGCCAGGACAAAAAGGAAACGATGACCCTATTGATCCTGAGTCATTCGAAATCAAGGATATTGTCCACAGAGCATTGCAAGGTCAAAAAGTACCTGTTGGCATGGCAAGTGGTAACGTATACACAATGTAGTCAGATAAGAAAGAGACTCACATGGGATGTATATACAGACTTGTCTCGTAAAAATCCATTCTACTCTATCCTTCAAGAAGCTACTCTGTTGTCAGCTGTAGAGATATTTGCATGTGGAACTCATAGAGGTAAGACATATGATATTGAGTTTTTGGAATGGATGACTAATGGTCCCAATAGTGAGCATATTGAAGCCAGATGGCAAAATCGGGGGCATCTTATCACAGTCTACGGTTGTCAAATATCTGTTTGAAAACAGAAAGCAATTTCCTGAAGTTGATCAGATCTTGGACAAGACGGTAAGTATGTCGCGGATGGTTATATCAGGATTGTAATTGACATAATTCAAAAGATTCGAGAATTGAACCTTGGTAATGAACCTGTCATAGGTGTAAATGACAACTCTAGCGTTTTGGACGCGCTTTCATTGATGAGTAAGTTTGAACCTGATGTTGGTATGGCCATGTTACTTAATGCTATTTGATATCTAGGCACTCATGGTGTCTCTTCAGTAGCAGTGCTGCGCGGAAAGACTGTATTGGGGAACATTAGTATGACAGATGTCAAGGTAGGATAGGAAATTGCAAGGCAGGCAACTTTTAGCTTACAAGAACCTTTTTTTTTTTTTAGCATGTCATGAAAGGGGTTTCACATCGATTACTGTGGAAAACATGTTTCCAATTTGTAAGCCATATCAGGACGCAACAAGGTATTACAGATGGACAGGTAAGCCACACAAAGTATCACTCATTTAGCTCGGTACTAAGTAATATCCCAGGATCGATTACCTGTGTTCGATGTACGTCAAGAGACATCTTTGGGATTTACGATAGCCAAGCTGCTCGCCACTAAAGCACATCGTGTATGGGTTGTTGATGAGCATAATCAAGCTACTGGAGTTGTTTCTTTGACAGATGTCACTCGAACTATTGCTTCCTTGGTTGGCGTTCAAGTCAATGAGCGTCGTGCGAGCATGGCCGTGTTTAGACGTTAAATCCTTGTGTAATTTAATAAAACGTTGTAATTAGTATTTTTTCTTGATGTTCAAATGGGTTTAGAGAAATTGTCGATTTGGAAATTGAGGCATTTGGTGGGGTAGCATGATTTTCGTAGATTTCTGTAGATTTATCGTTGAGGGATGTCATTTGTATGTAACAAATTCAAGCAACATTCGTAATACCATATATAATTTACACACTATGTTTTCCAAACATCATAACATCATAAACATATAGTCCCTAGACACTTTTACAACCCTATAATAATAACAACGTAATAAATTTATGGTCCCTACTAGACAAAGCCTCAAAAAGGAAAGAAGTTCATCTAACAAGTGTTTTGATAGGCTGGTGTTATTAAATATAGATTGCAAGAAAATAGCATGGCTAGATATAGTGCTATGTAATTTGCCACCTGCTTTCCATAATACGCTTCAAAAAAAAGCATCTATTATTACTGTATTGCCTTCATGATGAAAAGAGCATTGAGTTTGCCAGCCAGCCCCACCAGCCAAAATTAATTCAAATCTAGAATCATAGTTTGTTCTGGATTGGCCAAATTTTGATGATTTTCGACTCGATTGAACTATTTTGGTGGATTCGACTATATAAAACATGGTTATCATCCGATGCTTCCTAATACATTCTTGGGGTACTTTTTCAAGGCGCTTCCAATGGTACCCAGTAAGATAGATGTTTATCAAGCTACCCTTAAACGAATCACTCTTATTAATAAGCAAAAGTCTCATGCATATGTTCACAGTGTTGTATCAACTTGTTTTATCCAAATTTATTATTCATTTTACAAAAAGTAATCAGGCGTACGTCGAGTAACATGAGGCTCACCCTTTCTTGGTGCAGGATCAAATTGAAGGCTATCGCAAATGTCAGTTGTATGTTAACTTTCAGACAGCGTATTGGACTTACAATGTGTATTTCATGTGTTCATCGATTTCCATGATAGCAGCTTGATTACCACAACGATAACAGTAGTTGGGTGCACTAAAGATGGTTACCACATTACGATCCTGAGTCCAGTTGTATCCCTATTCATGATGCATGGTTGATTAAGAAAAGCATGGTCCAGGCAGGCATACTACATTAAACACCCACCTCCATCACCAATTGATGAGCTCTTGCTACCAAAGTAAGTCCATTATTATGATTGAAGGTTTCTGAAATATCCTGACCAAATGTATAGCCAGCACCACGAGGAGAAATACCCCAACCACATCGATCATCTGGATCAGACCATAAGAGATCACACATGGGACCTTCATGAGGCACCTCTTGAATTCTATCCAACGAACGAATCTGATCCAATGAATCAATCGAAGGCGATAAACCACCGTGTAGACAAAAGATCTGATCCTCAATCAAGGCTGTCAAGGGCAAGAAGTCAAACAGGTCTGTAAACATCTTCCACACATTGGCGTTGCCGTATTTTCTCAAACATTCATCGTAAAAGCCATACACTTGGGTGATTTGACGAGATTCGTGGTTGCCACGAAGGATAGTAACACGATCCTTGTATCTTACTTTGAGAGACACTAGAAGAGTGACAGTTTCGACAGAGTAATAGCCTCGATCAACATAATCGCCCATAAATAAGTAGTTGGTATCAGGTGAATTACCGCCGATTCTAAAGAGCTCTTGCAAATCATGAAATTGGCCGTGAATATCACCTATATCCGCTGTTAGCTACAGTTGGTACATTCTATAGCAAAGTAGGCCATTTACCACAGACTGTCACTGGACAGCGCACTGGTTGTACGTTGGACTCTTCCAAAAGGATTTCACGCGCCTTGAAGAGGATAACAAATCAGTTGTAAACATCAGCTCTCTCCGTTTTCTCAGGTAAGTCTGATATCAACGCGCTTACTTTATCACAGAGCTTCTTAATGTCACTTTCAGAGAGTTGCTTACAGTCTTGCAGTTGAGTGATCCAAGCATCAACATCAGCTACTGAATTTGAGGCAGACATAGTATACAAAAGATGGTTAAAATACTGTTTTCTTTTGTTTTTTTTTTCGCAAGAAATGCTTTGTTGCTTGTTTGGTATAAGAAATCCTTTCTTTTGATATGTTAATACATGGTAGCACTAAACGCGTGTTGACATCAAGATGCCTATTTACCAGACGAAAAGATAGATAAGAAGTAAATGAGTTGAAAAAAAAGAAGCTTTTTTCCTTTTTCTCCCAACAAACTGTTTAAATGAACTGTGTATTGTATGAATGAGTTTGTGTTCAAGTGTCTGTAGAGTCACGCCGTTCCTCTCTCTTCTGCCCCACTCTCCAAGTAATAATCAAACGGATGATTAGAACGGAGCCCCAAGAAGAGCGCTTCAGTCTCGGTGCTGCATTGAATTACGGCAACCTTTTCTGATCTGATCGAGTTATATATTAGCGAGATTCATATTTCACATCTCGGATCCTAATCCAGTCATTTGATCCACTTTGATTTTCGAAATGCTGGCATGTATGACCCTCTCCCGTCCCTTTTAATTCCAATCATAGAACACCCGTTCTTATGCGAATTAATGCATGCGAATGGCGCTGGACATTGCATCATGTAACGATAAAAGACTGCCATTGAATGCTTGATGCCCTTAGTAGAATACTCATTGTCCACGGCGTGTACTCTTTTTATGCAGGTGAGTGCTTTCAACATGGCATGTATTTATATCAGATCAAGGATCTACATGCGGTGGCTTCTAAATGCCATCTCGTCGAGTATACAGTGTACAATCTGCTGAATACACTGCTATTGCAGCACACAACACCCTGCCAGCTTGATTAGTTTATGATTCCCTATTGATTTGTGCCAATTCCTCAGTTTTATTAATGCTTTTTACCTTGCAAACATCAGGGAACGTCATCTTTTGCCCTGTGTTACCATAGCAGTTGTTTCTTTCATGTTACATGATTGTGTACATGAACAGAAAAAAAACCTTTTCCTCTCCTCATCTTGTGTCTTTTTCATTTGTTGTTTCTTTCTTATATTGACCACTACTACTGAAGCCATATTTGTACCAAAATACAACGCACATGAGTTCGATACCGCATTACAACATGTATCGGTATGATACTCCTTTTGTTCCTGCAAATGTTGACAGTAAGAAGACGTCTAGCTTGGTTCAGGCAAGTACTTGCAAAGAGCAGCTTTGATTTTCACAGTACTCACTTTTAATCCTTCTTTAGAGAGCTATCTTCTTGCAATCACAAGGCGCAACAGAACTAAACAACCTCGAATTGGCTCAAATACAGCATCAACTGGTACTCATGCAAAGTGGTACAGGCTCTCGATATGCCAATACTGCTGCTAGTACGCCAGCTGCCAAGTATCAGCCACAGCTACACACGTTTGGAAAGCACAGCACAAACCCAGGTAAGGTAGACATTTATCGATTATCTACGGCAAAATTTATCGACAATGGCTGTGTAGGCCAGTGTATGCTCTTGCCTCATCAGTTGAGCGCTCTAGAGAATCAAATCGCTGCATACAAATTTCTCTTGAAAAACGCACCATTACCACCTCAACTTCAGCAAGCTGTATTGGCTCCTTCCAACAGCTTACTCGCTCAATCATCGCCCCCAATCACACCCATCACTACATCAAAAGCCATCCAACCACAGCCACATCAAGGCCACCCGCATTCGGTGCCTCCCACACCACCTACACCTCAGCATCAAGAAGAGCATGAAAAGGCATCAGATTCTACATCGCCACCTTTTGCATTTCTACCATCTCAAAGCACTTCATCATCACTACTAGTAGCACATTCATTTGGTGCGTATATACTGCCAGCTGCTCTTTTGGAAAGCCCCATCACATCCTACGCCCATGCACCAAGACATCAAATGACCTTGATTCCCAGTCTGTTGCCTGTAGGCATTGATTCTCAAGCCATCCGATCTAACAGAGAAAAGAGAATGCTGGCCCGTATGAAGCATCAGTACCAACAACCCGCCACAAACTTGCAAGACCACATTCGATCCAAGGCTCTGAAGCTCTATCAGAAACAGAGCCACCTTCGCAGCGAATTGGCTCAGGGCGTAGACAAATCAACAGTGCTTGCCACCTCTACAGATCGCACCGCGTTCAGACGTACCAAGAAGGTTTCGCGCCTTGATTCGCATCAAGTTGAATCAGTAGAGCAGCAGCAGCGAAGAAACCGAGAAGGCTTTATTCAAGCCACCAAACACAATCATCTACACATCATTTGTCAACACGGCTCTGCGTTAAGCCATCAGGGCAAACTGAAAAGAGCCAAACTAGCCAAACTGGGTCTCGCTGTAGTGCGCTGTCACCAGAACGCTGAAAAGGCGGAACAAAAAAAGATGGAACGCATTGCCATGGAGCGTATGCAAGCACTCAAAAACGAAGATGAAGAGGCCTACATCAAGCTACTTGACCACACCAAAGACACGCGCTTGACTCATTTGCTGAAACAAACAGATGTGTTCTTGCAATCATTGACAAAGTCCGTAGTAGAACAGCAGCAAAGCATAGGCAGGTACGCAGTATCTAGTCAAGAGCACTTGCAACACGACGTGTCTTCTGCTGACTATTTCCGCATTACTCACAAAATACACGAAGATGTCAGCCAGCCTACAATCATGACGAACGGCCAACTCAAGCAGTATCAAGTCAAGGGCCTGCAATGGATGGTTTCGCTCTACAACAACAATTTGAATGGCATTTTGGCGGATGAGATGGGTCTGGGAAAGACCATTCAGGCCATCAGTTTGATTACATATTTGATTGAAAAAAAGCAACAACGGGGGCCTTTCTTGGTCATTGTGCCTTTATCGTAAGTAGCTGCTATGCTTTTTTGATGGAATATAGACTCACTTACATGCTTGATAGCACACTGACAAACTGGAAAATGGAATTTGACAAGTGGGCGCCTTCTGTCTCCAAGGTAGTCTACACAGGGCCACCTCATACAAGAAAAGAATTGGCTAGCATTGTGCGGTCTGGCCAATTCCAAGTGCTACTGACTACGTTTGAATACATTATCCGAGACACACAAGCACTCTGCAGGACGAAATGGCTGTATCTGATCATAGACGAGGGTCACCGTATGAAGAATACCAACGCCAGGCTGACAGTGACATTGCGCCAGAAATTTCGCGCTCGATATCGCCTCATTCTCACTGGCACACCGTTGCAAAACAATCTGCCTGAGCTGTGGGCCCTGCTAAACTTTATCCTGCCAAAGATATTCAAGAGTGTCAAGACATTTGAAGAATGGCTCAACACGCCATTTTCCAACCAAGGTGTACAAGATAAGGTGGATTTGAATGAAGAAGAGCAGTTGCTGATCATCAAACGACTACACAAGGTACTGAGACCCTTCTTGCTGAGACGTCTCAAGTCAGATGTGGAGTCAGAGCTACCAGACAAGGTGGAGAGGGTGATTAAATGCAGATTGTCCAGCCTGCAGATGAAACTATATCAGCAGCTCAAAAATACCGGTGTTATGAATGTGAACAGCAACAGTAACTCGTAAGTAGTTTTGCAGCAGAGAAGCGCGTCAAATCTAACATGTGCACCATCTTTCGTAGCCCCATTGCTGCCAGAGGGCTGAACAACACCATCATGCAGCTTCGCAAGGTATGCAACCACCCATTTGTGTTTGAAGGCGTTGAAAATGCGCTCAATTCCAAAGGCAAAGCCAACGATTTGCTCTACCGTTGCAGTGGCAAATTCGAGTTATTGGATCGCATGCTGCCCAAGCTACAAAGAACTGGCCACCGTGTGTTGATCTTCTTCCAAATGACAGGCATCATGAGCATCATGGAGGACTACTTAAACTGGAGAAACTATCATTATCTGCGTTTGGATGGCAGCACGCGCTCAGAGGACCGTTCCAAGATGTTATACCGCTTTAATCAGCCCAACTCGTCCTACTTTATCTTCTTGCTGAGCACCCGTGCTGGTGGCCTTGGCTTAAACTTGCAGTCGGCTGATACGGTCATTATTTTTGACTCGGACTGGAATCCACATCAAGACTTGCAGGCTCAAGATCGTGCTCATCGTGTAGGGCAGACCAAAGAAGTACGCATTTTCCGACTGGCGACATCCAATTCAATCGAGGAGAGAATCCTAGCCACAGCACAACACAAGCTCGACATTGACGGCAAGGTCATTCAAGCCGGTAAATTTGACAATCGCAGCACAGAGGCAGATCGAGAAACTCTACTAAGAATGCTGCTGGAAGACAAGATTGAAGAAGAGAAGCAAGAGGAAGCATACGATGAAGACGCAAGCAACCAAGAGTTAAATGACATGTTGAAGCGTTCTGATCAAGAGCTGAGCGTGTTTGAAATGATGGACAGCGAGAGAAGAGCTCAAGAGCAATCAAGCCAACAGCGAGTACGCTTGATCCAGGAGAGTGAGTTGCCAGATGTGTTTGATACAGTTGACCCTGTGATTGTGGATCCAAGCTCTGTGGACTTTGGTTCCGACAGAAGCAGAAGAGCCAAGCAGAACATCAAATATGACGATGGACTTACAGACGAGCAGTTTATGCGCGCCATTGAAAGAGGGGAGGATATGTCACGCATTGAAAAGAAGAGATCACTGCCAACTGCAACTAAATTAAGCCGAAAACGCATCAAAATGGAGCCCGAGAAAACGCCTGAAGTAGATGCTGTGTCAAGATTAGTGCGAAAGCAGCTGACAGAGGTATTTGAAGCATGCTATAAGCGAGTCGAAAAGTCGATTGCCTTTGAGGATGATGGGTACTACAGAAAGCGATGCGAGTTGTTTATGGATCTTGTGGACATGAGAGAATATCCAGACTACTACACACTGATCAAAAATCCCATTTCAATGAACATGATCAAGAGCCGAATCCACTCCTTCTACTATGAAAGCATCAACGAATTCAAAAGCGACTTTGAGGTCATGTTTGAGAATGCTCGCATCTTTAATGAAGAAGAATCAGCTGTGTATGAAGATGCCAACGAGATGGAAAAGATACTGAACGATGAGCTAGAGAGACAATGTCCTCGAGGTATTCTGCCCAAATACCGCAAGCGAAAGGCGGCCATTGAGCAAGAGTTTGTTGAAGGTCCATTTGATGATGAGGAGGAGGAGGAGGAGGATGAATAAAGTGAAACCGGTGCACGGTTTCAAACTAGGAAAAAAAAATCCGAGTATAGTAAAAATAGCTCTAGTATCTCTTATTGTTGAATAATAATAAAAACTCTTTCTTTCTTTAACAAATGTCCCAACATCCGTATTCTGCTTCAGTGCCTGCTAGTGAACAGCTCGACCTACAACAGAGCTTATTCCCATCATGGCACAATCGCAGACACTCACACTCAACAGACATGATTCTAGAGGGAGGACAAAGAAAGAGCGGCTCATTTGAAGCATTGAAAGATATGATGCAAAAGCATCAATCCCAAAAAGACGATCCTGACGACGACGAGCAGCCAAAAGACAAAATGCGTGTCGCAGCAAACAACGACAACAAAAGTACACCTGTTCCTCCAGGCCCAAGTATCTTGATTCAAGAGCCAAATCAGAAAGAAACCACAGCTGCTGATTCCAATGAGAAAAAAAAGCAGCCCAAAATACGACGATCTGTCAAATTCAATGCTGAAGAAGACAATGGAAGCAATTTTATCAAGAATTAGAGGCAATATTATATATGGAGCGTACCACCGTGTGCGCCGTAATTATTCATTAAACAGTTTTTTTTAGAGGGAACTGTGGAAGCTGGATTTCTATTGAGAAGAATGATTGTATGGTGCATTAAGAGAAGAGGGCGCTTGTGGATACAAACATTGTGGCAAATGACCATGAAGGTGGCTAAAATGATAGGCAATGAGAGAGGGAGAGAACACAAGATGGATGTGTGTGACACTGTCGGCTAGTTACACCTGAAGATGTTTCATCCTTAGCTTCAAAGTGGGTTTCTAGCCTCACATCATATTTCCTGCTTATAAATAGTCCCTCCACATTGAATCTCTTTTTCTTCTCTTTCTCTCTATTTTTTTTTTCAGCATTCACATTTTACATTTGTGATATCAATGTCGAGCAGCACTATCAACAGTAGTCATAGTGGAAGCAGCAATATCCCCCCAACACCACCTCCTCGACCCTCTGCTCCCAAAGCTGCCAGCTCTCCTCCTGTGCCAGCGCCAGCTTTACCAGCCAGAAATAAATCCGTTGATCAATTACTGCCTAGTACTAGTAAACCAACGCCTACAAAGTCCACTACCAGCACCAGCATCAATCCAGACATTGAGGAATACTATGCGCATTTGGACAAACATGTAAAGGAAGTACGTCGCCGCAAAGCAAAGAGCATTGTAGCTCCCTCCTTGTCAGATTACAGAGTTAAAAAAGACGACAAGATCATTTCTACCAACTGGATTGAATTTCTCCAGGCTGTAAGTTGTAATTACTGCACGCAAGAATGGATGGTACTCAACGTGTGTATGTGTTGCATAGTGGATAAAGTACTTTGTAAGTGCGGCTGCCTATGATGATTTAGATCGTCCGCTAGAGCCCTTTTCTTTAAAGACGGTAAAGCATGATCTCGATAGACTCTATCCAATGGTTGTGCCATTCATTACGCCAGTGAGAAAGCTAAGACCTATTTACAGGTGGGAAAACAAAGCTTTGACAGGAGGTCTCGCTAGTGTAAGTTACACAAGGCTAACGTCGATCACCCATTGCCCTGTCTATATCTCATGCCATGTTGCCTAGTTGTATCTTATCCTGTGGTATTACGATTTGATCATGGCATTTGTGTGCATCTGGATGGCGATTGGCATACTGGTGGTTCGTTTGGATATGTTTGCTCAGTACGGTGTGGAAGCATTGGAGGAGCAGCCAGAGACAGATGCTACTGTAAAGTCTTGGAATCGCAACTTTTGGATGAAGATGAGAACAACGATGGGCACTCGATCTCCCTATGGATTCAATCTGTTTGACGATATCGACATTTCAGTGAACGAATGGAAGACTGATTTGTACACGAAATGCGGACCTACGATTCAGATCATAGTGAGTTTTACTCTATCGGATGCATACACTCTGACTGACAAAATGTTAGCTATCGGATACCGTAGACTATCTGGAGCGCATTAAAAAGTAAGTCCATCTAGCTGATTCTTTGATCCTTGGTCTAATCCACTTTCTGCATGTAGTTTGCTCACATGGAAGAGACCTCTCAAAACCAGAATTTTACTGTTTGCTATATGCACATCATCTGTATGCTTGACATTCATTCCGCTTCGATATGTCGGAAAGATGATATTCATCTATCTTGGTTTCGAATTTTTCGTATTGCAGGCACTCCGTTCTCATTATCCTAGACATCGCCGACTCTTTAATATATTAAACTTGCTTTTATGGGATGTGCCGAATGATGCTGAATACGCCATGGAGGTGGTAAGACTCTCCCGTCCCATCAAAAAGACCAGCAGCGACAGTATATCCAGCTCATCCTCAACATCCACCTTTACATCCACTGATCCGAGAAGACGAAATTTAGATTATGACAGCAGCGGTTCGAGTCATCGACATCCTCCTAGTGCCATGCCCAAGAAGTTATCTGCCTCCATGTCCGACCTCATGACAAATCATCTCACCATGAAGGCACTGGATGTCAAACCCACGAACAAATCACCCGGTAAAACTGCATTCCACGAGCAAGCGGCTTCCACAGCGACCTCATTGGCCATGCTGGCTGCTGCTGCTGCTGTCAATAAGATAAAGAAGACAGTTGATGGGAAACGGGACAAGAATGCAAAGAGAGCAGAAGATTCGATCCCCCCTGAAGAGGAAGATGATCCCAATGGCAAGCATCCCTCCTTTATAACATCGTTCATTTTAGCTCACTCTCCAATATAGCTTTTGGTTGTATGTACAAAGGTACGATTCCCGGACGCATCAATCTTCGTGGCAATGGATTCGTATTCCAGACATCTCGCATGACAGGTGGCAAGGTCTTGGTTGAATGTGCATTTGATGATATTGTCGGCGTCAAGAAAACCAAGCAATATGATATGCTCGTTTGGCATGCCAATGGCATTGATATTTCAACGACAGATGGACATGTCCTGACATTTGAAAACGTCATTCGAAGAGATGATTGCTTTAATAGATTAGTCGCTGCTTCTGATGCAGGTGGTGAATGGAAGAAAATGTAGAAAAAAAAACGAATAAAAGCTGTGTTTTTTGACATGTTTATTTATTTGTTTTGATTATTACAATAATATGGATTGGGTTGATTTAATCCTAAGGCATCCATGTTAGTATTGAGCTTTCACTGAATCTCTCTGCCTCAAATAGCTGTGTGCTTACCTGGCGGGATTTGAGTGTACGAGTAATGATTTCGGTTGGTGTACTACAATAAAGAGGTTAATGTTGTCTCGCTCCAGTTGCCTCAAATTCAAACTTACATGACATGAACCACAGCGCCCCAACCTGACAAAGCATCTCTGTCTTGTGCATTCAATAATGCTTGGGAGATGGTCTCAAAGAGATCCTCGGGCTCAAGATCAGGCTCCCAAAGCGATTCACACATACCGTACAAATTGGATCCTGCAGTACCACTTACAACGAAATCTTTGGCAAAATTGATACATCCGATTAAATCCATAGCGCAAATGAAAGGCTTGTTGTCCTTGCCTAAACCTGCAACAATTGGTTCAACAAAGTAAGGTCCAAATCTAGTTTTTGTTGGCATCAAAATGAGTGGGAAGTTGTTTTGCTAGCAGTTGTCAATCATGACATGTACCTTTTCTCATATAAAGTAGAGGAGACCATGTGTGCAAGTGTTTTGGGCTCCATTTCTCTCTCTTCACGCATTTTGTACATATTTGTCTTGAATCTGAAACGATCTGCTCTATTATACAATACTCATATTAATACACATCCATCAAAAGTTGCTGATGTCTACTCACAATGTCAGCACATCAGTAGCTAAACCAGGTAATCCAATAAATGTCTTTTCGGAAGCTTTGAACATCTTTTGGAATTCGGTTGATACAGTCATGAATTGGGCACCGAGACGCTTATCAGCTGCAATAGCGACACAGTCCTTTCCTACCATGGCTACAACAGAGCCACCATTGTATTGCATAATCGACTGTGTAATTTGATCAAATTCAATGTTAGTCAAGAGTTTAGATAGCCATGTGTGTATCCAGATGTATATCTGAGGAGAGCTCTTGTTATTTACCATGATGAAGTATATATATATTCTCTTTGAGTAGATGTAAAGAAATGGGAAAAAGAGAAAATAAACCAAAAGTTTACGTTACAAATGTTGTGTCTTCTGCTTGACGCGTAACTGCCACTGCCAACGTTTGCTTTTTAAGCTGGGATGACGTGTTCTAACCGACCAAATGTCGCTTATTGAGGACCCGATTCTAGTAAAGGCATCTCCAAAGAAGCTCAAATACGTTTTGATCAAAAGCTAGTGTCTGATGGATATCAAGCTAGCTTAGATGATGCTCAAATATGCACCAAAACGTCATCTTGTTTAAAATTAGGGCACATCACGCCTGTAAACTGACTAATATAGCTAAATGTCGCATCCTACCTCTACATTGGATGTACTACAGGTCCGCAAAAATCTTGCGTGTGCAACTGGATTAGTACAAAAACTCGAGCAATGACTAAATATTTGCTTTTCTTCCATCATTTCTTTGATACAACTTTCAAATGGCTTTAGCTCCTCAATTTGCCGGTCATCGTTTAGGCTCTGTCCTTGCTCCCCATACTCTCGAGTTTTATCTGGACTATGTTGTAAGTTCATTGATAAAAGCCAATCATGCAAAAGAGATGCTTAATCATATATGCCCATAGTGTCCTTTCTCTGCTAAAATTTACAAGAAACTTCGCGAGGTACAGCTATCCACTGACAACATAAAACAGCAGTTTTACTGAACATTTCATAGGAAGTTTGGCCTTTCGTCGAGTCCACTTATCCTGATAAATTCCAGTTCATCTTTCGCCAGCAAGTTCAACCTTGGCACGCCTCCTCAACCATTGTTCATGAGGCTGCCATTGCTGTAGAAAAAATTGATAACAAAAAGTTCTTTGAATTCTCTGACGCTTTGTTTGCTAATCAAAAAGAGTAAGTGCCAGCTTGCAATCGCAATGATGAGAACAGTGAAATAAAAGTGTTTGGATAGATACTTTGACGAAGCCCTCGAGAACAAGACACGTAGAGAAACAGCCGAGAGTTTGGCCAAATTGGCTGAACAAGTTGGTGTTCCATCTGCCAAGGTCTTGGAGCTTATTTCAAATGGAACGGGTGAGCCTAAAAACCACGGTAACCAAGTTTCTAACGACTTGAAGTTATGTATCAAGATTGGCCGTCAGAATGGCATCCATGTCAGTCCCACTGTTTTGGTTGATGGCATCAAGGATGATAGTGTTTCATCTGGTTGGGAACTCAATCAATGGCAAGAATATTTGAAAACTAAGCTTTAAGTGAAATAAATGATATACTGTATATATATTTAGCTTATTGTGTCAAATGCATGTTAAATGTCTAAGAAAATAATTTAGCGTAGGCGCTCTTCTCTTTTTGCTTTTTAGCAACCAATTTAGCCTTGGTGTTGGCGAGTTCTTTCTTGATGCCGCCATCTTCAGGGTCCAATTCGTTGGCCTTCTCAAAATCTTCAATAGCGCCTTCCAAATCCTTGCTGCCAGCCTTGGCCATGCCGCGACGGAAATGGGCCTTGGTGATATCAGTCTTCTTCAAGTACTTGGCGTCATATTCCAAAACCATAGTAGTAACCTTCAAACAGTCGCTGAAATCACCCAACTTGAGATCACACATAGCTCTGTTGAGGAAACAAGGGATCTTGACACCAGCATACTTGACACGAAGATCCTCAGGATCCTCTTCATCAAAAGCAGGCTTAAAGTTCAAATAGCGAATAGCCTTGAGGTATTTTCTGGCAGCATTCTCATAATCACCCTTCTTGAAATAACCGTTACCAATATCCTTAAGCTTGCCAGCAATTTCAACAATATCAGCAAGCTCTTTGGGACCTTCGTGATCGTCTATAAAGTAGTCAAATGTTGAGTATGATGTATTGCCGCATGCTATCCAATAGAACATGTACTTACCAGGGAATTCCTCATAGTTATCACCATCATCGTTGACCACGATGCCGTCATCTTCGCCTTCGGCCAATTCGCCACAGTTGGTAATGACAGCATCCTTCAATGGCTTGTCATTGCTGACTTCCAAGAATTCCAAGTTACGGACAACAGCCTTGCCCTTCAAAACCTTACCAAAGACGACATGTTTTCCGTCTAAATGAGGGGTTGGGACAGTCGTGATGAAGAATTGAGAGCCATTGGTGGCGGGGCCGGCATTAGCCATGGACAACAAGAATGGCTTATCATGCTTCAAGTCAAAGTTTTCATCTATTTGCTCAGTAGGTTTCAGTATATGCATTACTGCCGTGTCATCTCGCAATTAGCTACCTTCAAATTTTTCACCATAAATAGATTCACCACCAGTACCGTTGCCAGCAGTGAAATCACCACCTTGTATCATGAAATTCTACCATATATGTTACTCATCATTTTCTCGGGATCAAAGCATACGGTGTGCACTTACCTTGATGATGCGGTGGAAAATGCTACCCTTATAGCACAAGGGCTTACCACTTTTGCCTACACCCTTCTCGCCTGTCATCGAGAGACCGAATGAGTAGCTGCTACACTATCATAGAGCAGATGTTCACTTACCAGTACAGAGAGCACGGAAGTTTTCAGCAGTTTTAGGGACGACGTCCTTGAACTAGCAGGACAACAGATTGTGTAAGTCGTTTTACATTTAATAGGTAGTTTATGCAAATACTTACCAGTTCAAAGACAATACGTCCCTCTGGCTTTCCGCCAATTGAAACATCAAAGAAACTTCATTATAGATCAGTAAACATGACCTACTCAATTGCATATGAGAGACTTACACGCGAGGATTGGGCATAATGGTTTGAGACAAATTAACTGATAAAGAAGTGCACTTTTAGAAAGTTGTAGAAGAATGATTGTATTTATAGCATGTCCTTCCGAGTCACGGTGAAGTTGAATGCGATCTTTCCAGAAAAATCGCTGCAAATCAGGATATCCAAGTTAGGCATACTTGATGTTGTAGCATTCATCACACTTTCCATCAACTATTTAGTTCAGCAGATGTTTGATTTGCTATCAAAGCATATAATGCCCTTAAAACCATGCAGCGAGTCTGTAACCAGAAAGATTTTCGTATATTGGTGGCTTTTTAAGTAAATTATGAACTACTGATCAATCTGTATCAACTGTGGCATTATTCATCGCGCAGAGCCAGAAACCACCTGTCGCTTGAGGCCACACTCAAAGTTTCTCGTAGACCTAGGCCAATAGGTTAACCTCAGCCAAAATTGACCGAAACCGATCGACCATTGCTGACTGTTGCTGCGATGGAGAATATGAAATTCTTGTGCATTGCTATCAGCCATTTCACACCCTAAGTTTGCTTACTAGATTGGAGCACCACAAAGACATTTCCATGGTGCTCTCAAAAAAAAAAAAAAAAAAAAAAAAAAAAAGTGTTTTTGCCACAGTAAACTCCAATTTGGGGTCAATCTACATAAAAGCATCGTAAGTGTTCAAACGAGGTCTCGTTTTGGAGAGCAAACAAAGGGGAGAAACATACAATGAATAAAGAAGCCAGGTTGAGTTGGCAATTGTGCTGGTAATAGTATCAAAACATTGAATTTTAGATTGGTTTCGTTATACTTTACTCGCTTAATTATTTGACAACAATCAATGTAGCGACGCATTTTCCCAGTAAGAGGAAGTCTTATTTATTAGCATCAACATAGGGGTGAAAAAACTGCTCCCCGTTCTTTGTAAAATGCGCAGCATAGCTTAAAGTTATTGCCAAACCACAATGAAGCAAGGTACCAACAAACGGCTTTGAATACGGCGTTTCCCGACATTACATCCATCGATATTGCACTCGTAATCACTTGCAACAAACAAGTTCTCATCTGAAGATCATAATTTAGCATTGGCTATTTAAAGAATCGCCAGTTTCTCAACAATCATCTGCAATAATCCATTCAATCTAAAATCCAATTACACTATCTATTCATTCAAAAGATTTTGCTACAGCAACATGCTACTTTTAGAGTTCTACCATCAATATTTTCAATCTTGATTTTGAATAATGGACTAAAGCTCAAAATTCAAAACACTTTGATACATTCATAGTTTTATAAGATGAAGCAAAAGGTAGCAACCCATGAAGCTGAAACATGTTCAAAATCAATAATAAACGGCGTATGTTTGTCGAGGTATCTGGTATTGGGAAGACATTGTATCTAGTGTATTGCTGTACCTATATAATAGCTTTCGACACATAATTAAATTCAAAAGACAAACATCCCTTGCATGAAGCTGTTTAATAAATGCCAGATCGAATGATTGCTCCTTGTCTTACTTTTGAATAAAGAAGAATTTAAATTGTATTTATATTTGAATACACTTTTATTACAAACACAAAATTTTACTATATGACAGATCAATAGGAAACCAACTAGTTGTAACCCTTCGTTGCTTCAACCTCCGAACCAATCAGATTGCTCGAAAACTCCGCTGACCTAAAAAAAATTTGCGAGGGTTTCCCCCTGTTTGGATGTGAGGCAAAATTTTAAGCGCCGCTATAATAGCATTATAGCCGCTGCTATCATCAAACTTCCCTCAGGTGCTAGAGCATGCCTTACTTACACCACCTAGCTTTAGATTCTGGCGTTGAGACTCTCAATCATCACTAAAGTAAGTAGCGATAACCAAGTGGAGGCGGCCTATCTACCTCCTAGCCTCGGATAAAGTCTTGTTGAGCTTCAGGGATAGGCACATCCACACAACGTAAAAAAAGGTATGCTTCAAAAGAAACATATAATAAGAGAAAGAAAGAAAAAGAAGAAAAGAATATAATACTATACGAGTATAGTAAGCAAAAAAGAAACACTCACACAAAGTGGTTTAAAAAAAAAAGCATATCATGAATATAACATCTAAGATATTATACTGAATGCATTGTAAAAATGTTCATACTATATTCTGGTTACAACAACAAGAATATATACATAAATAACGTGCATGATAAAAGTCTGATGTAAAGCAACACAAGTACGCACAATCGCAGGAGCAACAGCGGTATATATGAGTGGTGTGCAATATAATACAACATGATGACTAATGTTGTCTCATGTGAAGCCACAGAGGCAACACAGACAACAACCCACGGCAATATAACAAAGTATTACAACCGCAATACAAGTATGTAGTAGCAGTGAGTCATGCTTGTTGTTGTTCGTACATACGAAACAACGACATTGCACGCATTTGTTGAGATGAACATATCACAGTCAACGAAAGAAACAAAAAACGCAACAAAATACACGTCAAGAGTGCATTATTATTACGAGAAAGGAAGCAATAATAACAAAAACGTCCAGAGAAGTTTTATATTATTGAGACCAGAAGAAAAAAAGTTACTTACCACTTACCACAACCACAAACAGAATACCAGAGAATGCGCAATTACCAGAGACAGACCAGAGAACAAGCATACATAAAAAACAGTAGACCATGAAGGACCAGATTACCAGCCGCAACAGCAGCCGCATCAGCAGCACCACTATAATAGAGAAACAAAAAAACAACATTAGAGAAGGCCTTACACAGAACGTACACAGACCAGATACAGACCAGTTACATACCAGATATAAATCAGACACAGAACAGATACAGACCAGACAGAGGCAAGATACAGACCCAATAAGCAGCCGCAATAGCACTACCAGATTAAAGAAACGAGAGAATAAACAACGCCAACGAAGACCATACACAGACCGGATACAGACCAGACAGAGGCAAGATACAGACCAAACAGAGACAAGGTACAGACCCAACAAGCAGCCGCAATAGCACTACCAGAATAAAGAAGCGAAAGAATAAACAACGCCAACGAAGACCATACACAGACCATACACAGACCAAATAATCAGCCGCAACAGAACTATTATAATAGAGAAACGAGAGAACAAACAGCATTAGAGAAGACCATACACCGACCGTGCAGAGACCAGATACTTGCCCGACGCATACCAAATAAGCAGATACCAAAGATGGTAGATTGAAAGAGATACTAGAGATAACATAAAAGTAAAGGCAGCAGGACACACGTCAAACGGGCAAAAGAATTATCAAATCCTAACAAATAAATACTTTTAGTGTTAATTTCACGTCTTCCAGTGCTCGTTATCGAATGGTATTTACTATATTCTACTTCAAAGAAGCAGTATCACGTATTACTAATAGTACAAGGTTGTGCTATCAAAAGCTAAAGTGTTATTTTCACTCAAAAGGTTTCCAAAACAGCCATGGTTTGGTAGTAAACGCGTTTTGCAAAAAAGGGGGAAAAAAACGGGGATATGGAAGAATGATGGGGGAGCCCTATCCAACGTCACGGTCAGTAGATTTGTTCTCAGTCTTCTGCCGTGGCAGCCGTAACTGCTGCACTTTAATTTGAAATTGTGCAGTGGGTATTTTCATGTTCATATTTGACTTGATCTCACATCTTTTAAGCGTTTTTGCTAAATTTGACTATGAAAATTGTCATTTTCACACCCAACTTTCTAACACATCCTTAGGGGACTAAAGAAGCTGCATCAAATGATGCTAATTACATTCAGGTTTTTGACCGAAAATAGTGAGCAATTTGCAAAAATATAAAAACAGATTTTCTGTGAATATGTCAAAATCTAGCATATAAAACTCTCATAGAAACAGTTTTCAGTGATGCATTGCATCTCTACGATCAGTTTAATTCTATATGTATTATAGGAAAAGTCTTCATTTTTGGGACGAAAAGCGCGATCGTTTGATTTTCAAAAAATTTTCCTTGCCAATACTCATGAAAAAAGGAGGATTTTCATTGATTTGCGATGGCCTAAAAAATTTTGAGATAAAGTATCAGTAAGTAAGGCGTATCAAGCAGAGCCGTTTGGCGCTATTCTAAGCGTTCACAACGCTTTGTAGCATGAGTTATTCGTGCTTCAAATTGGCTAAATTTAGACAAAATTTGACCAAAAATAAAACGCAGTAGGTCGTGTTGCCACACGAACAAGTAAATCAAAGCTTAACTTGATCATTCTGTGGAATTTGAGGCTTTATAAGGCTAAAATTCACGGAAAAAAAAGAATAAAAAACAATGAAGTCAACTTAATGAAACAGCAAAGAGAGAATGTTCGAATGTTTGATCGGTTAGATCAAAAAATCATCTTTCTTCTCGGATTAAGTTGGATTGGGATATATTCAATAGGCTATATAACATTAAATGAATTAAAGCCATATTAATAAATGTTATCCACTTGATTCTCTCAACAATCATCACTATTAATTGTGGAATTTGAGGCTTGATAGACTAAAATTCACGGATAAAAAAGAATAAAAAAACAGTAATGTCAACTTGATAAAGGTATGTTTTATTATCAAACTTGAAGTGAAATCAGGTTTAAATATATTTCATAAAAAAAATAAAGCAATAGTAAAATACAATAGAAATCAACTGTATTTTATTTTGTGTATAAAATGAACTGAAGATCCTGGAATTGAGTAAAAAAAAGAAGAGTATTTGTACATTTGCAACTAGCTTGTAAGATTAGTGATGATAGAGAGCAATAGGTGCTGCTATTGCGATATCTGGCAAATGTTGTTGATGTTTGCTTTAAAGTGGTAATCAATGCAAGAGCACTGGCCATAAGGGTCGATTTGAGTAACCTTGATGGGCTTGGGTGAGCTATCGTCATAGCATGATTTAATGTAACCTTGATGGTTTAAAGTGTGATGTTTGTTATTGAAGTATGGAATCCTTTATCTGGGATATTGTGCAACTATGGCAGCAGGGCATAGTTGTCATATTTGAATATGCTTGTT